CTTATGTGGCTTACTCCCTTAAAAAGCAAAATAATATATTGTTTTCTCCACAGTCAAAGTACAAGTATACAAAATGACAAGTTGTCTATGTCTAAAACTTTAAATATTCTGTTTTTTTTAATGATGCAATTTTGCTTGTAGTATCTGTTTTCTTTCTATCAGAAGGTTCAAATCAGCCAGACAAAAATATCAAATAGTGATAAACTCAATGTGACAATCTTTGTCTGCAAAAGTTGCGTTAATCTGTGTGTTTGTATCTAAAACCAATTCACTGAAATTAAGCTGTCTGCAGGTAGTTCATATCTCTATTTACACGTCATGCAGGATTATATTGTAGCTGATTAAGGTTTGTTGATCTACAGTGGAGGCAGTAAAGTAGAAAAAAAAAGAACTCACCAGCAACAACCAGCAGTATGGATCCCTGTCCTTTTTCGATAACTTCTGTATAAGTAGCACTTAGTTTGGTATACATACACCAGTATACATCCGTGTCATTTTCATTCAAGTCTTTGATGAGAATATCCACATTTAGGGATTTTCCATGTGTTTGAACTCTATGTATCATTTCTGTATTAATAGCTTCCTTTCCCGTGTCTCTGTGTTTAGTAAAAATGACAGTCTCCACGTGGATGCCCTTTTTTAATTGCAGACTTTCATAATCAGAACTTGATTTGCACTGGATTGTGATGGATTGTCCAGGTTTTTTCCAAACCAATTTCATCTCTACACAACAAGAAATAGCACAGCTTTACAACCATAACATTACTTGAAACATGCATTTTACTTTTTATAATTTTACTTGAGTGAGTCTTACCTGCGGTGCAGCAGAGACATAGGATGGTAGAGAACTTAAGCCAGATGGCAGACATGGTAATGGTTCGCTTTTGCTTTTGCAAAGTTCAGTTCAACTCTGGCACCACAGTCAGAACTGTTTTCAACAAGTTCTAACTTGACAGCCTGAACATACACGGACCGTTTCTGTTTGCTGTTAGGTTAGAGCTTGTTGAATGTTTACAACAAGTTCTAACTTGATAGTGTTAAGCAGCTGGTATAGGAAGTAGTAGTCCTGCGTGAGAGCTTATGATCTTTTCCGAAAGTGCAAGGCAACGCACAAACAAGAGTAACCAAGGAACGCTCTCAGCAGAAAAGCAGAAGAAATCTTTATTTTACTTCTGCTTTTGAAGTTGTTCTGTGCACGGCTAATCTTTAAACTTTCAATTCATACAGTATAAGAACTGAAAGATTTTGATTATTTCTTTTTTCATTAATCATTATGCCTCAGTTACATTCAGGTACCCTCAAGTTCACACTATTTATCCGGTCCTTATTTAAAGAGAAGGGCTAGGGTAGTTTACGGGTTAGACAAGACAGTATGCAACATTATTCCCACTTTAGATTTTCTGACTTCTTTAGTAATCAGAAATCATCAAAGTTAGAGTTTTTGTCAGCCTTGAAACGTAGGACCCAACATTCAAACAGACAGATCCGAATTAGTTCAAACAGTCGTTATCAGCCATTTATTCTAGTCACTGACCAGGGTTTCTGTTTCTACAGAGGATCTGGTTTAACTGCTCCAGCTGGCGAGTGGTCGCGCGCAGTTTATAAGTAAAGACTAAGAGCAATAGTCACTGATCTGGTTCAGAGTTCAGTACGACTACAAAAGGATGTGAGGGATCTCAAGAAGGAGATTGTCTTTTGCTTATGGCGGGCGCCGCCCCCGGAGCTCTGGGTGATGACTGGAGCTGATGCCAACCGACGCCGAGGAGCAGCTATGTCCAGAAGGGAAAATCTGAGCCAAAGTTATAACAGAACCAAGTTTGTAAATCAGACGATAACAGAGCCGATGGGGTAAAGATGAGGGAATCCAAGCCGTGGTCAGACAAACAGTCCAGGCTCGGTAAGCCAGTAGAATCCAGGAAAGAGTCCAGAACAGATCAGACTAATAGAGAAGACAGGGGAAGAGCAGAACTCGGGATCCACAAGACAGAAATAGGTCACAATTAAGTCATCAGAACTATAATCAAAACGCTAGAGTTACTCTCACCAAACAGCTCGAATAATCTGGCTCTGGTAGCTTGAAAACAAACAACATACAGTATATAGGAGCTGGAAACAGGTGGATCAGATAAGCAATGATGAGAAAACGGGCAGAGTGAAACAGGTGGATGGAAAGAACAATCGAGCAAGCCACCAGTGCCAGGACAGCTTTCCTATATACTGGTATAGAATGGCAGGAGCTGACAGGATAACTGAGAGCTAAAAAGATACAATACACTAAAGATGGTGTATCTGGTTTTTGATTGACCTTGATTTTTTTTTTTTTTTTTTGCCTTAATTATTACATGTGACCAAACTAAGAATCTAATAAATAGGTTTTCATTCAGTGTCTTCGAGTTAAACTACAAACATGGTCAAGTTTTTAGACTTCAAAAGTTTCTCTCTGGACTTTTGCAGCTCCTCCAGAGTTACCATGAAGCTTCTGGAAACTTCTCTGGTTTATATTCTTTTTCCCTGACTTGTCAGTTTTGGAGGACTGCTATGGCAGGATTGCAGCCATGGATATCAGATTGACTCACTTTTTTATTTAGGTGACTTCTAAAGCTACACTAAGAGGTCCTCTAAGGGTATAAGCTTGGGTCAGGAGACAGATCCAAGGATAAAGAAGGCAGAATCCAAATAGCAGTCTGAAGACAGGTCAGGCAAAACAGAAACGAGTCAACAGTTTATTAATATAGACTAAATTTTTTCTGTGTGTATAAGCCATGGAAAGAGTCTCTACTAATTTTCGTCATAAAATCACGTTGTTTTGTCCATTCAGAGTTAAACAAGGTCTTGCATTTTCATTATGCTAATTTTCTGTCAATATTTAATTCTGATCCTTGTTTACTTTTTTAACTAATGACAAACAGATATTTATGTGACACAGCACCCCTCTTAGCCAGTCATCTATTAGATACTTGATGCATTTTATACATTCTATGATTGGATATTGTGATGCAGCCCAGCATAAATGGAAATATATCTGCTCTTCAAGCCTTGTCCCTACTAGAGGAGGACAAATACGCATCCGGATGCCTGACAGCACAATGAAAATCCAGACTGTCCGGCCTACAACCGGACATTTGGCCACCCTACTTCAACCAGTCATCAGTGCTGGATTATTCGAGCCTTTGGAGAGAGTTCTCCAGTGTACCTAAGTGTTACTGATTGTCTGAGCCTGACATGTTCTGCTTCTGGACCTCTGAGCCTGCCTGTCCCAGTTCTGACCTTTGTACCTGACCTGACCTCAGACGCCTGCTGGTTTTCTGCCTGTTTACTGAACCCGGAACTGATTTCTGACTCCGTCCTGGATTTCTCTTCAGAACCTCTCTGTACCTCTGATTTCCTGGTTCTGAATCCTGAGCATGCCTTTGAAACTGACTTTGGCTTTGCCTTCTGGATTATCCCAGTTCTGATCTCCTGCCTGTCCCCTGACTTCTGAGACATCAGCGTCTGCCTTAGATTCTGATGCAGTTCTCTACAGTTCCATCTGAAATAAACGTTTTGTGAAACCTAACTCTCTCTCCGCATCGAAAACTGGGTCCTTTAGTTATGAGCCCGACAGTATATTAGTGCTGTTAGAGGGGCTCTTAACTGGAGGTTGGCCCCTTAATCTGATCCTGCTACATCCAACATCCTACATCCATTTGGCAGCTAATGGCGATCCTAATAAAACTAAACTAAACTAAACCTTGGATTCTCCATGTTTGCAGAAGCAATGAGAAAAGCTTTCCTTTAAAAATGTCAAATGCCTGACATAGGGAAGCCAATAATGATTTTGTTTTGCCTACTTTGCACCGCCCCCTTGTGGCAGAAGAGGAAAGCTTTGTTTTATTTACCCACTAGATTCAGAAAGCCAAAGCACAGGAGTAAAAAAAGTCAAAATATTACATTTTCTGCTGACCTTTAAAATAGATATCTCCTTTTGTATCATCAGCTTACTTTACAATATGAATTATTTGTTCATATATGATGGAACGGTATTACTGCTAAAATCATATTTTAAAAATCCAGAATTAAATGCTCAAATATAATTAACTGCTTTGCCTTTTAACAGAATAGCCACAGAATAAATATTAGCCAATTCAAAGGTCTTTAGAATAAAACAACTACCCCCTGTCATTATAAAGAAATGTTTATATTGTTTAATAAAGTTTAATTTAAAGCATACATTAATTCTGGTTTTAAGGTTCTTGACAGATAACAACTGAACTGGTAATATCAGCATCATTGTGTTTTTCTGTCAGACAGGGACAGTTTATATTCATCATAAGAAGTCTACTTATATAATAGATACAGAATCACAGTTGTGCTCATTGATGTAAAACCTTACATATACAGTGGAATACAAGTTCAAAGTATTTTCATATTAAGATGAGCACACACAATAAAAAACTCCATTAGACTGGTAGTCTCCCAAGGGGACAAAAAAATCAATCGATCAATAGCTGCAATATAGGTGTGTCTAGTTTTGTCTCATATCCCCTGAGGGAAAGCAGGAACAAATGGTCCTGGTTTCATGGTGTCATCATTCTTTTCTTCATGAGTGCCCTTCCTCCAGTTTCTTCCAGTTTAGGAGGTGGGATATAAGCCACAGGGGAAAGTGAAAGGAGCTTTTACGTCCCTTTGTTGCTACAGAAACAGTCCTGTCCATTTACCAGCCGGTGCTTCCTGTTTAATGTCCCGGAGGGTGGGAGGCAGCACCAGACCAGACCAGGATGATTCCTGGCTTGGTCACAGTCAGGGCAGGAAATCAAACAAAACAGGACAAGAATGATTCATCTCACTGTTGTTTTTTTAAATCAATAACTAGTCATTTTTGCAAGCCTTTTTAATAAACCCCCTCCACTGAATATTTGCAGAGTCATTTCACATGACTAAATGGTGGTATCGATTAACACACTGTTTGAGCATCACTCAGAAGTGACTCACCTCATTTCCGCTCTCGACTTCCCGTGGTTACGCCTCCTCTTCCTCCACAGAGACCTCTGGATGGCCTCATCTGGACTCCACATGGCCTAATAGGACTGTTGATCAATTAATCAGCAAATGAGCTAGGCTGCTTAAACACATGGCACCCACACATGGTAGATAAATAACTCAGAGAGTACCAGACCTTAAACAGAATGGGGAGGGTAAAGGTAATCTCCCATCTTTGGGGAAAGATTAATCAGATAAACAAAGGGAATAGACAGCAGAGACTGATTAGCTGCTGGCCAGAACAAAAGCACAGTACATTTAAAAAGTATTTATACCCATTTGAACCTTTCACTGTAAAATATGCAAGGAAATGAACTGTCTGTAGTTGATTTTACTGAAGGATCACTCTGTAAAAGGGTTTTAAACATAAATTCGATTATTATAAATTATAAATTTGATTTTATTTGAAGAAATAACGTGTTTTTTTTTTCCTGCTTCACATTTATTTGCTCCTTTGTCTTAGTCATTTGATCCTGATAGAACAAGATCCTAAAAGAACACACTGAAATTTGAGGTTGTGACCTGATGTAATGTGAAAATGTTCAAGGGCTGAGACTTCTTTTGCAAGAGGAAAGACTTTAAAAACTAAAATAAGCACATAAAAGCACAAATCTAATCTTTTCTCTGATTTTTTTTGGTAAGAATTAAAAAAGACTAAGTAGAATATGTGCACTTCTTTGATATGGGCATATAGGCTGGTAGTATGGAGTAAGTGTGTATAATAATTCTGTTCCCTAAGATAAGATAAGATAAGATAAGATAAGATAAGATAAGATAAGATAAGATAAGATAAGATAAGATAAGATAAGATAAGATAAGATAAGATAAGATCATACTTTATTTGTCCCACAGTGGGGAAATTGCAGCGTTGCATCACAGTGAACAGTACAGTAGGAAAAAAGAAAGAATACAAAATATAAAAAATATAAAAAGAAATATATACATTGAGTATATACAGACAAGGCCATCACACTTGGTGTGAACAGTTAAATGGCTAAGGCTAAGGTTACAAATGACAACAGTAAAGTTCTGTGCAAATGATTGATTGTATTAAATTATTGCAGAGTTAAATAAATATGAGTGAAGTATACAATAGATATGCAATAATAACAGGTAAAGTGACGGTGGACATATGGTTGATACGGAGCTAGCATTGTTGGTTGTACAGTCTGACAGCAGCAGAAAGAAAGGATCTGCAGAATCTCTCCTTTATACAGCGAGGGTGTATCAGTCTTTCACTGAAGCTGCTCTCCAGAGCAGAGAGAGTGTCCTTCAGGGGGTGGTCCTCATGGTCCAGCATAGACATGAGTTTGGACAGGGCCCTCCTGTCCCCCACCTGCTGTACAGAGTCCAGAGGACAGCCCAGGACTGAGCTGGACCTCTTGATGATCTTGTCCACTCCTTTCCTATCCCTCTCAGTGATGCTGTTGCCCCAGCAGGCTACACTGTACAGGATGGCTGATGCCACCACAGAGTCGTAGAAGGTCTTCAGGAGTGGCCCTCTCACCCCAAAAGACCTGAGCTTCCTCAGGAGGTAGAGCCGGCTCTGGCCCTTCCTGTACAGAGCCTCCATGTTGTGAGTCCAGTCCAGTTTGTTGTTGAGATGAACACCCAGGTACTTGTAAGTGTCCACCCTTTCAATGTCCTTTCCCTGGATGTTCACTGGGGGAGGGACTGGGGGATATTGTTATATTGATATATTAGGTTTATATTATATTGATATATAGCTATTGAAAAAAGAAACAAGAAAATGTATGTAAATCTGAAGACTTTTAAAATAATAGTTCTCTATTAATTCTGGTCATATCTTCATCAGGAGGTTGAGGCAGCAGCAGCCAATGAGAACCACTGTAAAGGGCACAGGACTTTCCCTGTTTGCACAACACTTACAGCAAACAAGCTTTCATTGAGCGAAATAAAACATCCTGGCTATTCTCCAGGGCAGGAAGTTCTTTTCCTGATCTTTAGTGACCCATGAATGCCTTTCTTGGTAGAAAAGTGGCCGACACACACTGCTGCTGCTGCACAGCACTAAGCAGCATGAGGTTTGGGGCTGAGAGGTTTCTTTAGCGGGTGACTAGGTAAGATACACAGAAAATGTTGTGGTACCAACCATGTTATATAGTATATTCAGAGTCTCGTTTGGAATGTTTTACATTTTGTGACCATCTGAAAACTTCAATGTATTTTTTATGATGTTTTATGTGATAGAGCAACACAAAGTAGCTCATTATTGCGAAATATAAGATAAATCATGAAGATGAAACATCCTACTGAGCCGATATTTGGGATGTCCCCTATTCCTTTAAAATTAAGTTCACACTCAGAATGGATGGAGAACATCTCTGATATATCCAGTCTTGCTACATATTAGTAATTAAATATGGGTCTGACTTGGTCATTCTTACATATGACATGATTTGATCTAAAAACATTTTGTTGCTGCTCTGACTCTAAATTTAGTGTTGTTGTCTGGCTTATCTAGCTAAACCTTTTAGCCCAAAGTCTTTAGCAAACAGGCTTAGCCCATGTTCTTAATAAACCCTGTTAATTGATGGTATACCCTCAGCATGACGCTGCCACTACAGTTCTTAATAGTGGAAATGATGGGTTTAGGTTTATGTACAATGGTCTCGATTCCAAGCCCTTCACCTTGGCTGGAATCATTATGTCTTAGAAATGTTTGCATTTGTATCATTTTCAATTAAAGCCTAGATGGTGAACAGGAGGTTAATATGATGTTAAAAACTTAAGATATTTTTGTATTATCCATTTTAACTTATCAACAAGTTTATCCCTGAGCTGCCTGTGGTGATGATTGAGACTTTAATAAGATAAAATATTAAAAACAAAAAAGGGAAGTGGTCAATTTAAAAAAAAGGTGTGGTACAGTTTAGTTAAACTGAAGAATTAAATGACAAATGCTAGAATTGAAATAGACAAATGTATTGCTTTTGTTTTCCTAAAGATGGTTTTAAAACTTTAAGTCTGTAGAGATAAGCTTCATCATGACTAATCTATAAAGGAGGACCTGCTTCCAAGGGATTACATGCTTCACAATAAGCGGCTTATAGAGACTTATAAAATCAACAATACGCCCCCATTCAAGGAACCCCCATGTTCTAAAGACCAGAACTTACAGTAGAGTTAAGTGCTTGTGTCATCATAGTTCTTCAGACTTTAGCTCCAACAATGTGCTGGATTGTTTTCATGTTTTAAATTATATAAAAAAAAAAACATGATTTATTTTGAAGCTAGCATTTAATCAGTATTTAATAACAGTGAGAGACTTGTGGAAAGATTTTAAACAGGACTGTCTCAAAATTTTCTACTTTCATAGACATAACAAGGAAATGCTTTTAGACATAAATTTAAAGAAGTTGTAGATCTACTTCTGAAAACCTCAGTTTTATTTTGATTTCTTTACACATTCCCATCAGCAATGAAGTTAAAGAGGCTGCTTTGACATTTATGTTCTAATTTTTAAATGTTGCTTTGAGTTTTCAGACCCTATTTAGTTTTTAGTCAGATAAATGTTTGGCTGTTATGCTAACAAATGTCTTGTTTTGTTTGATTAGGTGAAATGCAGCTTATGTCGTATTTCAGACACTTACCAGACAGCTGCAGGAATTTGATTAAATCTTTCTTCCCCCTTGAGAATCTCTCTCCCATTACTCAGAGGTTAGAGGAAGTCCATCTCTTCCTTTTTGGAGCCACGAAAAGGTGGAGAAAATCTAACATAAATTCTTTCAATCTAAGGGATTCCAATAAGGAGCTGGTTGGTAGGATTTACAGTTGAAAATTTTGTCATTAATCACATATTTTGTTTCTGATAGAACATGACTGAAGGCAATGACAAAAACATGACTATCTCCAATATGTTCAAATTACAAAACTTCATTAAATGGAAAAATCTGTATTGACATTACAGCAATTATACTCTTATAAGAGCTGACAGGCTTTTTTAATGTTTTCACTGGTATTTTAATAACAAGCTCCAAGTCTGAGGTTGTAATCTTTGGCTTCCTCCACATATTCATCATCAGTTTCAAGTTGGGTAACTGCCTGGGCAGCTCCATCATATTGTTACTTCCAGTCATGAAAAGCATATTCTGTAAACCTTAACCTGGAAAGGGTACTTATAATCTTGACCTTTACATCGTTACCTTTAACATTTGAATCCCTAAAAAGGTTTTTAATCCAAGCCATGTGCTGCTGAATACTGATTTTATTTTGAACAGAAAATTAAACAATTTAGGAGTAAAATTAAACAATCCACCAACTAGGAGCAAATTAATCAATGATTTGTTCCTTTTAAGGTTTCTAAACTAATTAATCAACGTAAAAATCAAGTAAAAATGCATCTATTTTCAACTGAACACACACACACATAATAGAATAAGGTACTTTATTTCCTGATTAAAATGTAAACCTGAAAAAGGTTTGTTTTTTTTGTTCAAGATCAACTCAGTGTAGTGAAAGCTTTGGGGCATTTGGCCATCATTTAAATGAGTGTTAGCAATTTTTTTATTAATTAATTTCAAATTTTGCTTTACCTTTGATTGTTTAAGTCCCATCAGGTCCCTGAAGTAATGATTCATCACTTAAAATGTAAGTAAATCAAACTTAGAAGAAACTGAAAAAGACCCCTCCCTATGCTATTTTATCCTGCATCCTCCTCCCGTTATTTAAAAATGGTGAATCTCTAGGAGGGAAACCAAATAAGGAATTATGGAAAGACCAGGATGATCTTCCAGCTTCTGTTAAAAAAAAACAACAACCTTTAGACGTAACAAAATCCAACACCCAGCTTGAACCAGAAACACACAGAGAGCCAAATATTCAGATCATGATGTCATAAAAAGATCTTGCTATTCTTTTGACCCATTTCTGCAGAAACTATCCGTTATTTGAGCTGTGCAGCTTTCCAGTTTGTAGCCTGTCTTTGCTCCCTGTCGCCATAAGGCTTCATTTCAGTGTTCATAAATATTACTCGGCTCTTTGCTTCTGGACATTTATGCAGATGGAAACCAAAGAGGAGCGAATTAACAGTCGCTTTATGTGCAGTATGTCTAGACTGGCGGGTTCACAACATAAACTGAGCAGTAAGAAAGAAAACAGAGGCAGCATGGGCAATTTCATATGAATCTTTATTGTATTTAGAAATCCACATCTCAAATCTTTTTCATTCTTTTTGTTTTACCATTTACAACCGGGGAAGAAATGAGGGACAAACTATGTCATGCCTTTCCCAGCAGGCGAGATGCACTACAGGATGGGCTTAAATGGAAGGGGTGTGGGAGATACATAAAGTGCTTTTGTCAACAGTTTTCTTCTTTCAATAGAAAAAAGGATCAAACAAAAGGTTTGAGGGTGGAGTGAGAGGACATGAGAGTCCATGCATGTGAAGGCATGGGGAGGACAGACGGTGGCATGTTGATGAGGTGGAGGAGAGAGGTGGGGTGTTTTTGTTTTCAAAAAATAAAAAAGTGATTGAATGAAAAAAAAAATAGAAAAAGAAAACAAAAGAGAACGTTGTTTTAACCAAGGATGAGGCTGGATTTGCCACCAGGAGGGTTTCTTCGACCTCCCGCGGCAGCATTGGCACCTCCCGACGGGGCGGGGGGCTGTGACGTCTCCTTCTGCTCTGGCTCCTCCTGCTCCCCCTCCACATCTTCAGGACTTTCTACAGCAACAATAAAAGGCCACTGTGACTTCATCTGAACTGAATTAGTTGATTACAGCAAATGTGATTCAAATCAGCAGCCGAAGACACTGCAGACATTTAGACTAAACCAGGGCTGGTCTACTGCTCCTGCTGTATAATGGCCGAACATTCTGGCTCCACAATCATGGTAGCTGATCACAGCAGCTCAGTATCAACTAATCAGAAGCTGAACTTTAGGGCTAATTCACATGAACAAACAAAACAAAAGGTGATTAAAAGAAGCAACATAAAGAAATATGAGAACCAAACGAGCAAGTGGTGGTAGATTAATCTGTACTGACAATAAAGGTTTATTTATGAGGAAACAAACTTATTTGGTCAGTGTGTGACATTGTGGGTCAGCCGATTGGCCGACACCAGAGCTGAACCAAAAATAAGCATGAATAAGAACGGCTGTGTTTGAGCAGCTTTGCAAAGGCGTACATGGACATGGATAATGCCTTTTATTCACTCTGACCTCAAACGCTGCTGCTTTTCCACAGCAAACACTCAGCATGGGTTTACAGTAAAGCTGCATTCAACAAGTGAAAGTTATTATTTAGGTTCATCACACACAAATATATTTAAAACCTTTTGCCTTTTAGTTTGAATGAAGTTTTGAAGATTACAAACTAAAGTCTGTCCTATAGTTTGTACAATTATTAACATTTCTGTTTAATACTGAAATCACAAGAAAGGTACGTCAGTCTGAGGTCACATCTTAGGTAGTTAGGAACTCAAAAGATACTACATCCAAGCAGTATATCAATGGAAAGTTAAGAAGAAGGAGAAATACATTTCCCAGAATCTGGAGGAACACTGGAGAGGCACAAGCTGGTGAGGAAGGCCACTTGTATCCTGGGCTTCGCTCTGCACTCAGTGGAGGAAATGGCTGAGGGGAGGGTCCTGGCCAAGCTTACATCCATCATGGACAACACCTCTCACACCCTGCACCAGACTGTAGAGGAGCTGAGCAGCTCCTTTAGTAGCAGACATAGAGTGTAATAAGGAACGCTACCGCAGGTTATTCATCCCTGCTGGCCTTTACAGTGCCACTGCACTATAACCTGATGTAAAAACGTATACTATCTATTTAACAAACCAGAAACCACACTTTACCTGTCACTGGAATAAAGGGAGAAGTTTCTCTAACTTCCTGTTCTCTTGCTTATGGGAAAAAAAAACAACAACTTGGATGCTTGGAAATATATCCAAAACATCTAACCTTCTGCTTCAATCTGCAGGGGAGGCTTGGTAAAAATGTATTAAATAAACAAACCTTTTAGGGAGGTATTGAGCTGTTTTTCAATGTAAAATGAATAGCTAAACTTAAGTCCTGTGATTCAAAGAGGATGTATTTTGTCTTATTGCTGTGTGTAATGTCCCGCAGCTGTGAGGTTTGGGGCGCTAAAACTTTCTTGTAAACCAAAGGGGGGACAACCAAGAAAAGTTTGGAAACCACGGGTATAGATGATAATATGATGCCTGATCAGTTTATCCTATTAATTTGCAGCATTATGAGTAAGTGTCACATTTCTATCTAAATTGGAAGCAGTTACTTCCTGTTGTAAAGTCCTGAGTAAATATCAAAGTTTGTATTTGTATTATTATCATACCATAAGAATCCCATAGCAGCCCTGCCAAGTGAACACTATTTATGACCCTATTTTAAGAGCAACAGTAGAAGCAGCTGTGGCAACTGGATTCATTGGGAGTTAATGGGCTCTTTGCCACAGACAGTGGGCCTGCATCGTTTGGTTAAAATGGACGCAGATGTTAAGATATTCCTGCAGGCTTTGCTGCCTTTAAATCTGACGCCTTGCTTTCTGCTAGCATACGTTCAAACTGACAAAACAGGAGTTGCAGCATCGTCAGAAACTAGAGTTCATCCAAGAGGAAATAGATCACTTACAGGCAGTGCAACAAAGGCTGCTTTAGTTCCAATATTTCTCCATTCAAACCAGACTGCAGACCCCTTTTATTATCAGAGGACCCAACCATTGGGCTCCAAACCTGCACCTGGTGATTAATAAAAGGCTTTTCATACTAAGTGAAGCCTGCCATCAAAGAACAGCTGCTTGACTCCAGATCGCCATGCCATGATGACAGGAACTAACCACATCAAAGAGGTCATGTGTTGCTGACTCAGAAAGGGAGAAGCTGAATCCTGTATATATATTCTTTTATTTAAGAAGTATGACTTCCAGCATAGATGAGACACTCTGCAAAGATGTGATATTAAAGGGCCAGGATAAAATTACCTGGTTTGTTTTCAGAGACCATGGAGCTTTTCACTGAGTAATCCAAGTCATGCCCTTCTGGTTAGTCACAGCCATCCTGTGACAGACACTTAGCTTTTTTTTTATAAAAACAGATGAGGAAGGCAGAGTGCTTACCATCGTTTGCTTGTTCCTGGCCGTTTTCACCCTAATATGTAAAGAAAAGAACAACAGTGTCAAACTGGTCATTAAAAGTATTAGGAACTTTTAATACATGAAAATAAAAGTACACTTTCCATCGTCTGCTATGTGACCGTCTATCGTAGAGTCCCTGATCCTAGTTTATTCCTAAATTATTCATCTAAATTAAAACTTTAGATTTGCCTTCCAATGAAAATTTCCATCTTTTGACTTGTTATAAACAAAAACTTTATGTTATTTTGTTTGGATTTTATTTTACAGACAAACACAAAGTACAGCATAACTATAAAGCAAAAGAAAAACAATCTTTGTTTTAAAACAAATATAAAAACTGTGGCGAGGATTTGTATCTAGCCGCTAAAAAAAAAAAAAAAAAAAAACGTAAGAAAACAAAATCTAGGCCTTAGAAAGTCGCCTAAACAAAGTCCATTTATTCTGTGAAGTTTTTTTAATGAGGACAAAGGAACCCAACAGTCAGATCAGAGAGCTTATAAAACAGCCATAGAGATGGTCAAGGAATGAATCCACAAAGCAACCACTGGCCATGAACTCCACAAACATGCTGTAGTAGTTTTCATTTACATTTGACCACAAACCAAGCAAAATGGTAATAAAACCCCAAAATAAGCTTGTGGTCATAATGTGACGGCATTCTTAAATGCATAAAACTCATGGGTAAACTGTGGCTCTTGTTTTGACCAGCTGTTTAAAGTGCTTTTTTTTCTCAGTATTTTGTATTTTTAACAATCCTGTAACGTTACAGTGATTATTAGTGTTGCACCCATACCAAAATTGCACTAAAATGGTATCGGCAAGTACCGAGAAATGGGGCACAGATACCATTTTGAGAGCCAAAAGTTTATTCAACTATCGTCACTAATTCCAGGTAGGCAATAAAGTGTTCTACAGGATTCACTTTGTATTAGTCTTTTTCCTGCTTCGCAAAGGTAGGCAGCAGCTTGACAAAGCCGTGATGGCAATTATTTTACATCCAAAACCACACTAGTGGTTAGAAAAGAAAATGATGCTCCATAGGTAAATCTTGCACATCTTGTACAATATGGACTGATAAACTCACTGATTAATGTTCAGGGTCCCTTTTCAATGAACTGAAAAAAGTACAAGCAACATTTAAAATTGGAAGTTTTTTTTTCTATATTTTGTGACGATTTCCTTCACTAAAACTGCTCTTTGAAGACATTCTTTCCATGTCTGCAAGAAAATGTGTTAAAAAACAATAAAATGTGTTGGGATTACAAACGTCGCAGTGAACATTTATCTGAAGAAGTGGATCAGATTCAAAAGCAGAAATCAAGCCATGAAATTTTCCACTCAGACACATTTCCTCTGTGATACTGAGCTCAACTAGACTCTTGCTCTGTTTTGGAAACAGAGCCTCCTCACTGTACCTCTCGTCTCTGGTTCCAGATCAAAGCTGCTCCAGAGTTGTGGATGGTGGTCAGCTCCGGCTGGGGGTTCTTGGGGAAGAGGAGAGGCTGCTGGACCCTCCTCAGAGGGGCTGATGGTTCTCCGCACAGAGTTCCTGTAGGTGCCCCAGCTGGATATTTGAAAGAAAAAAAAAAAAAAAAACACACCTTAGAGCTGCATGGGCGCTGCCTAGATGAACTCATATGGTAAAGCTAAACAGGAAACATGAACATGGCTTCAAAGCAACAGTCACGCCATATAAAGACTAATCCAATAAGCACCAAAGCCAAACCAGACCCAAATATCTTCAGCTCACCAGGACTCATCAACTCTGCTTTGACTAAAACAGCAGCTTTAAAAATCATCTGACTGAAATACGTCACTGGGAACCAACACTGAGCATCAAATCTGCTTGGACGGCTGCTTCAGACCCAGAAAGACGCAGTGGAAGGCGTCCAACCAGACGACCCCGGTTGCCAAGACCCACATTACCCCATGTAGTGCCTTCATCATTTCCCTTCTGCAGAAAAAAAGCGTTAAAACCCAGCGTTGGCTCAGTGCAGAGAGACAGGCCGTGCTATCCGAGGCCACATAAGGCCGCCACTATCATCCAGAGGGCCTGAGAGGCGACAAGCTGCCTTTGTTATGAGGGGAAACACTGGCTGCTGAAGAGCCAGGAGAGAGGCCACTGTTGTTAATGGAGTTCAATGAATTAGAAAGAGTATATACCCCCAACAAGAGCTCGTTCATAACTCAATATTTCTGAGCCCGATCAGCTTAGTGCCCATTGAACAAGACGTATGAAACATGAGAGCATTTAACGGCAGAGATTGATGGATCATACAAAACAGAGCATCCTACTTATCTTTATTGATCTCAGCGGTCCATGGCATAAAGGCATGGAAGCAGCGAGACAGGAAAAGTAATTCTGTGGTTACTGCTAGTCTGTGCTTCCCCCTTTATTAGAAATAGCTCATCATGTGGGCAGAGGCTGAGGGCTCTTAAACATACCAACCAGCTCTGCTGTTATAACATCCATCAATACTTTAGCTTTCAGGCGAACATATCCTCCCGCAGTCAAACCTATGAAGCTCTCATTAAATCATTTCCTCTTCCTGCTTTCCTTTATTGTCTTTTAGTTTAATACTATGGGAAATTAATTACCAATACAGACATGAGTGCTGGGATAAGAGGGCTCTAAAACCTGCACTTCATTAGCAAACCAACAAAGTTTCTTGTGGACTATTTGGAAAGAAAAATAAAACAGGATTTGTTTTGCTGTTTAAGTGGCTGGAGCATTTCTGCAGCTTCTTCCTGACTGGCCGCTACATGGCTCCAGATGGTGGAGACATATCCAGTCCTTATAAAACGCACATTTGACCATCTATCAAGGAATCTACACAGCCCTGCACGCCAGATGAACTATCGTCACACAGAAGCCGCGCAGGCTGAGCCCAAAGCTTGTAAACTGTGAGATAAGTTACCATTACCCCTAAATACATTAACATCCTCCTCCTCTTCTTCTTCCAGTTGTGTGAGCAAAAGAGGGGCAAGTCTAAGAAGCGTTTCTAAACTTGAAACGGTCCCAAGTAAAACAAAGCAGGCAGGAAAAAAGGCTTTACTGTAATCAGCTGCAAGCTGTCTAAGGCTAAAGAACCCATTTGAGGTCAAATTCTTGCCTGTTCCCAGATAATTTTTGTGAATTTTACTTTTGCTAAGCTTGGGATTTTGCTCTTTCTTGAACAGCTATCATCTGGTGAAAAGCAAGGAAACCGGTACAAGCTAAACATTGAATAATGACGGAAACTTTCCGGGCTTTCAGTCCAACCACTCTCGAAGGCATAAACGTCAGATCACATTTAAGCCTCCGTGGCTGAAAGTTTGCAGCGACCTTGATCGCTCCCGGCTCCCTTCACTTCCCTTCTCCGCGTGCAAGGCCATGCCTTTCACCGAGTGATACCGTTTTCCCGTCTTTCCACTGCAAGCACAGATCTACAGCCTTTATTTAACAAAGCTTAGCTTCAAATTACCCTGATGCCTGCACTCCAGGGCCTTTTGGCTGCCATATATGTGGGGAAACTCCCTCTGATGAGCAAAATGAGCCTCTAGTCTGCATCTTATGTTGCCTGCTTAGCCAAACTTTCTGTGTCGTTTATTTTTCCACTTTTTCAAAGTGTTCTAAATGACAGAACTACGCAAAGTAGTGCTTATCTGTAATGTGGGAAGATATCNCTATCGTCACCAATTCCAGGTAGGCAATAAAGTGTTCTACAGGATTCACTTTGTATTAGTCTTTTTCCTGCTTCGCAAAGGTAGGCAGCAGCTTGACAAAGCCATGATGGCAATTATTTTACATCCAAAACCACACTAGTGGTTAGAAAAGAAAATGATGCTCCATAGGTAAATCTTGCACATCTTGTACAATATGGACTGATAAACTCACTGATTAATGTTCAGGGTCCCTTTTCAATGAACTGAAAAAAGTACAAGCAACATTTAAAATTGGAAGTTTTTTTTTCTATATTTTGTGACGATTTCCTTCACTAAAACTGCTCTTTGAAGACATTCTTTCCATGTCTGCAAGAAAATGTGTTAAAAAACAATAAAATGTGTTGGGATTACAAACGTCGCAGTGAACATTTATCTGAAGAAGTGGATCAGATTCAAAAGCAGAAATCAAGCCATGAAATTTTCCACTCAGACACATTTCCTCTGTGATACTGAGCTCAACTAGACTCTTGCTCTGTTTTGGAAACAGAGCCTCCTCACTGTACCTCTCGTCTCTGGTTCCAGATCAAAGCTGCTCCAGAGTTGTGGATGGTGGTCAGCTCCGGCTGGGGGTTCTTGGGGAAGAGGAGAGGCTGCTGGACCCTCCTCAGAGGGGCTGATGGTTCTCCGCACAGAGTTCCTGTAGGTGCCCCAGCTGGATATTTGAAAGAAAAAAAAAAAAAAAAACACACCTTAGAGCTGCATGGGCGCTGCCTAGATGAACTCATATGGTAAAGCTAAACAGGAAACATGAACATGGCTTCAAAGCAACAGTCACGCCATATAAAGACTAATCCAATAAGCACCAAAGCCAAACCAGACCCAAATATCTTCAGCTCACCAGGACTCATCAACTCTGCTTTGACTAAAACAGCAGCTTTAAAAATCATCTGACTGAAATACGTCACTGGGAACCAACACTGAGCATCAAATCTGCTTGGACGGCTGCTTCAGACCCAGAAAGACGCAGTGGAAGGCGTCCAACCAGACAACCCCGGTTGCCAAGACCCACATTACCCCATGTAGTGCCTTCATCATTTCCCTTCTGCAGAAAAAAAGCGTTAAAACCCAGCGTTGGCTCAGTGCAGAGAGACAGGCCGTGCTATCCGAGGCCACATAAGGCCGCCACTATCATCCAGAGGGCCTGAGAGGCGACAAGCTGCCTTTGTTATGAGGGGAAACACTGGCTGCTGAAGAGCCAGGAGAGAGGCCACTGTTGTTAATGGAGTTCAATGAATTAGAAAGAGTATATACCCCCAACAAGAGCTCGTTCATAACTCAATATTTCTGAGCCCGATCAGCTTAGTGCCCATTGAACAAGACGTATGAAACATGAGAGCATTTAACGGCAGAGATTGATGGATCATACAAAACAGAGCATCCTACTTATCTTTATTGATCTCAGCGGTCCATGGCATAAAGGCATGGAAGCAGCGAGACAGGAAAAGTAATTCTGTGGTTACTGCTAGTCTGTGCTTCCCCCTTTATTAGAAATAGCTCATCATGTGGGCAGAGGCTGAGGGCTCTTAAACATACCAACCAGCTCTGCTGTTATAACATCCATCAATACTTTAGCTTTCAGGCGAACATATCCTCCCGCAGTCAAACCTATGAAGCTCTCATTAAATCATTTCCTCTTCCTGCTTTCCTTTATTGTCTTTTAGTTTAATACTATGGGAAATTAATTACCAATACAGACATGAGTGCTGGGATAAGAGGGCTCTAAAACCTGCACTTCATTAGCAAACCAACAAAGTTTCTTGTGGACTATTTGGAAAGAAAAATAAAACAGGATTTGTTTTGCTGTTTAAGTGGCTGGAGCATTTCTGCAGCTTCTTCCTGACTGGCCGCTACATGGCTCCAGATGGTGGAGACATATCCAGTCCTTATAAAACGCACATTTGACCATCTATCAAGGAATCTACACAGCCCTGCACGCCAGATGAACTATCGTCACACAGAAGCCTCGCAGGCTGAGCCCAAAGCTTGTAAACTGTGAGATAAGTTACCATTACCCCTAAATACATTAACATCCTCCTCCTCTTCTTCTTCCAGTTGTGTGAGCAAAAGAGGGGCAAGTCTAAGAAGCGTTTCTAAACTTGAAACGGTCCCAAGTAAAACAAAGCAGGCAGGAAAAAAGGCTTTACTGTAATCAGCTGCAAGCTGTCTAAGGCTAAAGAACCCATTTGAGGTCAAATTCTTGCCTGTTCCCAGATAATTTTTGTGAATTTTACTTTTGCTAAGCTTGGGATTTTGCTCTTTCTTGAACAGCTATCATCTGGTGAAAAGCAAGGAAACCGGTACAAGCTAAACATTGAATAATGACGGAAACTTTCCGGGCTTTCAGTCCAACCACTCTCGAAGGCATAAACGTCAGATCACATTTAAGCCTCCGTGGCTGAAAGTTTGCAGCGACCTTGATCGCTCCCGGCTCCCTTCACTTCCCTTCTCCGCGTGCAAGGCCATGCCTTTCACCGAGTGATACCGTTTTCCCGTCTTTCCACTGCAAGCACAGATCTACAGCCTTTATTTAACAAAGCTTAGCTTCAAATTACCCTGATGCCTGCACTCCAGGGCCTTTTGGCTGCCATATATGTGGGGAAACTCCCTCTGATGAGCAAAATGAGCCTCTAGTCTGCATCTTATGTTGCCTGCTTAGCCAAACTTTCTGTGTCGTTTATTTTTCCACTTTTTCAAAGTGTTCTAAATGACAGAACTACGCAAAGTAGTGCTTATCTGTAATGTGGGAAGATATCTAACGGTTTTACACAATCTGAATGATATTGTGAACACTTAAATTTAAATTCCGTGACTTTTCACTTTGATGCCTCAAAATAAAGTCTACTGTAACATTTAGGATTCACCAAATTAAACAAATCTCAATCTCTTTTCTGAGGGTTTTGAAGTTTTGCTATAAAACATTGGCAAAATAAATATAACAGAGAACAAGGAGCACAGCATATAGATCAGGGAGACAGTTGTGGAGAAGTTTAAAGCAGGGTTAGGTACTAAAAGCCCCCCCCAAAGAGCATTTCACTTCATTACAGATACTGTAAAACGAGTGAAACAATTGAAAACTGCCTAAACACAGCAGTATATCATACTTAGTTCAAACAAGGAGAGCATTTATTTAGAGTAGCAGACAAGAGGAGTTGTAAAGATTCATAGCTAAGGTAAGAGTCTCAATACTATTGGTCCAACAATCCAGATGAAATGGCGTGTTGAAAAGAAGCCATCAGACTCCTGTTTCACATTTGCTACAAGCCATGAAGGGGACATGGGGAAAAAACTGAAGGAAGAACCAAAACTGAACCCTCTGACCTAAATACAAAAAAAAAAAAGGGAAAACTGATATTAGCATTTAAGACCACACCTGCATTCAACCGGCGTTTACAAACCATCTATATAATGTCACAGAGATAGGAGATATTTGCTTAATTTCCAAAGAAGTGTAAGAGCATATTCTCATTCTCAAATGTACAAAAGCAATTAGAAACATAAAAAACCAATAAATGCTGGTTCCTCTACAATGATGCACTACATTGAGTTGGTCTAATGTTTGTGGTTAAAGTGGGAGTTATTAAAAAGACGGTACTGTATTTGGGCTCAATAAATACATGGTACTTTTGGTTTAATGGGGGCTTCTAGAAGTTCTAGACTCCACTAAACTCAGCCACAGTCATCCCGTAGATGTAAAGCTCCTGCAGCTTTGATTATGTTTGGCAGCTCAACTCACTTGGTGGATTGTTCCTTCGATGAGCATGGGGGTCATCCGGTTCTGCGAAGATGCTAGAGGCCATCTTGTTCTTGCGGTTGGGGGTTGCGTCTTCATCTGTGCCAAGAGAGAAGTTGGACTCCCCACCGGGCGGCCGTAGTACCCTTAGGGATTAAAAACAAAGACTGTAACAATAGTGTAACGGGAGGCTTTAACAGCTCAAAACAAAAAGCAGCTGTGCAAAAAGAAAAAAAAAAGAAAATCAATAAATCAATGAGCAAATACAACATGAGGATGCCCTTAGGCTCAAATCCCCCCCTTTACTAAACACATAGAGCGACCGGTGGGTCTAAGCTGCGGTTGTCAGCCTCTCAGTCACAATCTCTGCCCTTCAGCTGACTCTGCTCGCCTTTAAGCGCAGACTTAGCAAGCTAGCTGCAGCCTCATCTCAGCAGATTCTTTAGCCGTGACACACAATGACTTGTTCATTTTTGGACTCATTTGGAATCCCAGCTTCAATTTAATTAGGGGTTTCTATTGGACCAAAATCCAGGAACTGAGGTATGAGTCTGTAAAGGTCATTATACATTCAGTACATTTAGTTTACTTTTCAGTAGAACTGCAACTAATGATTACTTTACAAATCGATTAATCTGTTGATTATTTTTTGCAATCAATCATTGATAATCGGTTGGCAAAATGTTCCTTATAGAAGACTTTTTTAAATGAAATTAAACCAGGTGAAACCAAAACTTTTGCGCTTGAGGAGTTCTGGACAGAGCATATTGATAGAAGAAAACATTATCTATTTATTGTTTATATATTTCTTTACAATCTTGGTATAATTACTGCTCTAAGTAGGAAAGTTGATGATTATTTTTAATAATGGATTAATCATGATTAATCTGATTAGTTGTTTCAGCTCTACTTTTCAGAGACACAAAACTGTGCAGCGAAGCCTTTAAAAGTTCACTATGTGGAGCGACAGTTGGGGTGGATGACAGATACCAATCTGCTAGAACAGCCCATGTCGGACCCCTCCCTCTTCTTTTCAGCAAACTCTCCTCTCCTGGAGTCCCTGAAGCCACCAGCTGACACACGGAGCAGCTGTCCGAAAGGCCGGGCAGGCAGATGGAGCCCAACAAACACCTCACCTCCTCCAACCATACAAAGGAAATAAACCAGAGACATATCTGCACAGCACTCTTCAATGGATCCTTTTTTTTTTTTGGTGTCCCTCACACACGGCTGTGACAATAATGCCTAAACCAGACTTTATCCCCCGGCCAGAAAGGGATGAGCTCATGGTTTCCACATGGATTGTGATGAGAAGGGGAAAGCTGTTAGCAGCATGGCAGCTGACCCCACCCTAGATCAAACTGAAACACTATCAATAAAATAATCATCTGTTATAGGGAGCAAGAGGGCAGTTTAAAGGGCAGATGCAGGAGCTCCACAGTCAAAGATGGAATGTGTGATAAAGCAGGGGTAGGAGGGTCGCTGATGACCTACAAAGATTTGATCTCTTTGTTAAAAAAGCTGCTCTCTGGATCTTATTTAGACACACGGAAACAGAAATGACCACCAAATTGTAAAAAAAAAAAAGGGGGCTTTAGAGACCAAAAGCAAAGAGCTATGATAAGATTTAGAGGCTTAGTTAGCCCCCACCCAAGCCCCCTACATCACCCAAAAGCAGCTTGCAATCTCACAGCCGACATCTGACAGGCTTACCTCCCAAAATCTAGAGAAATATACATCTATTTCTATAGAAATATAAATTCAGAGAAGTAGAGGAAGGTAGCTTTTCTGTTTTTTTTTTGTTTTTTTTTACTGCAAAGGGGAGGAATTCATTCAGACCATATGCATCACTTACAGGAAAGGAATGACTGCATGCTTTAAGCATGAGGTGGTCTGTTTTAAAGCACATATAAAAAAAAAAGCCGTTTATCATGACTGATTAAATTCCCTTTCACCAAAATCACAGAGACTAAGATGAATGCAGACTTAAAGTCTACTCTAGGCAGTCACATGCTATTAATAAGAATGTAAAAATACTGAAGGTTCAATTTATCAGAACACAGAAAGACATTTAGTTGTAACAACAAAAGAATAGTTGAGGGAGGTTTGTGCACTTCTTAAAACGGAAAACAGAAAAAAAAAATTGTTTTTCTTTCTATTTTAGTCCAGCTCTCCTGGCTAAAGCCCACACTGCAGGCTTACCAAACTAACTTATGGTGGCTAAAGGGTATGGTGCTTCTGCGACCCAATAAGATTAACTCAATTAGCAGCTCTATGTGACAGTTTAGCTCAATCCAGTTATACCCTTCACCACCAATAGCGGACTGCTTTTAAACGAAGCAAGCCGTCTCCCCGCATCCCACTCCTTTTGTTCCTCCGTAGAAAATATTCAACGGCTCCTTCTTTTTTTATTTTTTTACCTGGAGCTGCTTTTAGTACCGGGGTCTAACCCTTGAAACGTGGTGGTGGTCGTCATCTTCGAGGAGCCGTTCCAATGTCTCGGCGGTCAGCGAGCAACACTCAAACTAATATAAAAAAATAAAAAATCCTCCTCGTTGCCCGCAGAGAAGCGACGAGATGTAGACTCCACCCGAGACTGGGAAAAAAACCATAAGAAGAAGAGTTCTGTTGCTTCTGCGGTGCCAGCCGTTCAGACTCAGCCCAATGGCCGAATCACGTACTCTGATTGGATATGACCGTTCAGAGGCTCCTTCTGATTGGTCGAGAGGCTCAGCGGTCAAACCTCTTGTTGGTGGCAAGCGTCAGTGACCAGGCAGCCCACATCCCTGAGGCCATATTCCATACAGTGCTTGAATTCATTTGTGGGTTTATAAAAGTGTTATCTGTTATTTGAAAAGCAAATATAATAAAAACTGCATTTAACTTTTAGGAAGTTCATTATAGAACAAATGTGCAGTATTAGAAGTGCAATCTGGGATTAACATTAACCCCAGCCGAAGAAAGAGCTTCCATTTCTCTCTAAGGAAGTCAGGATCACAATTTCTTAAATGTAGTTTTGTACAGTCACAGATGCATTTTAAATTTTCAATTCGAATACTAACGACATATATTAAATATATTCACTGATAAGAACTTGCCTCACCAGTGCAAAAGTGATCCTGCACTGGGGTCCACCTCTAATGGTGCAGGGTACTAGAAGTCATCTGTGCATGTAGAGGGCCCCTGCAGTAAGCAGCCAAGGCACAATAAAATATATGCATTTTGATGCTGTAGATGCTAAAATATACTTTCTACAACTATATTTTCAAGTTTTTAAGGCCAAAATTCAATAGTTTTGAATCTAGCTTTACATTTGAATTGCCAAAATTGCACTTAACTTTTATTCATCTACACTGTGATTCTCCAACTTAATTGCAGCCCTCACACAAGATTATTACCATCAATGGCTACTATTATTGAAGCTAAAAACAGTGTAATCTGTTCACTGTATAACTGTGGCAATTTATTATGGCAAAATTAGGCACTATGGCCCAGTTAAAGACTGAAAGTAAATCTGTTTTTAGTGCAAAAAATGGTTTTCAGTGAAAGAAATAGTACTTAGATTACGTTGCAAAATATATATCAAGGACATAATACCAGAAATACAATACCAAGAACATATATAACTGTCCCCAAGTTCTAGTTTCTGATCCATTGGTTAATGCGGAGCGCTCATTATGAGAGCCAGTGAAACTTAACATTTGATGAACTAATTACACTTTGTTACTTTAACAAGTGGTTTATTGCGTAAAGGCTCATATTAATTTTGTTTACTTTGCTTTTTTTCAGTTTTTTACGGCACTAGTGGCTCATTTTTTCAACAGTAGGCTGACAAAAAAAGGGGGTATGAGAGTGGGGGCGAGACATGCGGCTAAAGACCACAGGCCGGATTCGAACCCCTTCACACCCTTTTGTTTACTTTGCAAATGTCAAAAAGCACCACTAAAAGCACCCATTGTACTACAGGTTACAAATAATATAACCAGTAAGTCCAGTTGAAGTGTTTAAACAGCAATAAAGAAAGAAAGGAGGACAAAAATTGGCTGATCTGCAAGGATCTCGCATAAGTTTCATTCCTAGATCTGAAAATGTAAACAAGTAAACCTTTGGGGGAAAGAGAACAATAACTTTATTTTAACAGGCATTTGAATAAACAATACAGATGTATATTTAACCAAAACATCCTTTTAGCCTTCCCAAAGTATGAAGTGGTGAAGTAAAATGAGTACTCTTAACATCCAGTACAATATAAAAAGTATAGATTTGTTTTCCCTGATTACAGAGTTAAACAGCAACCAAGTCGTGTTCCCAAGATTGGATGTGCTGCTCACTAAATGACAGCCAGACCCAAAACATAACAGCTTAAGAAGAGATCTGCTAGACAATTATCAAGCCTAGCTTAACAGTAAATAACAAGATCAAAAAAACTTTCATTTTTATCTGCTCTCAATATTTTTCTGAGTCTGTGCAGAACGAACCTTCAATCTGGGAGGGAAACTTCTACAAATTTATCACAAAACAGCATGAAAAAAAAAAAACAAAACAAAAGAATGCAATGTGTTCAGGGTGTAATTTATGTACAAAGACAAAAACAGTAACAGGGGCATGAATAGAAATTCTTTACAGCAGTTTTTTTTTTTTTTTGTGAAGCACAGAAATTTAAAACCTCCTCTGTAAGAATTATGTTGAGACTGTTGGAGAAGTTGCCAATAGCCAGCCGCTGGGTGTTAACGGGCTGGGGAAGTCAGTCATGTTGGAATCAAAAAGACGGCAGCTGTGGTCGGTTAGATCAGACCCCCCGTCTGTTGTTGGAACACATCGATCGTATCCTCATCTTCCATTTCCAACTGCAAAGAAAAGCAGATAATGTTGTTACAGGAAAAAAAGTGTCCATACCCATCACCTCTATCCACAGGTTAGAATCAAAAACCTGTATTCTATACAGATTTGATGTAAAAGATAGCAGAACATAATCCTGCTAAAGGGGTTTGGTAATCTAAAAAGTGCGGCATGCATTTGATTTTAGAGCCCTGAGAAGGCATGGGATGGTTACCGGTTTTGCATTACACCACCATATTAAAAATCCTGGTTTCAGTCAAACTTTTTTGTAGTATAAGTATTCATTTATACATAAATCTCCTCAGAAAACATTTGTTGGCTCCCTTAGGTGCACCTGCAGCATCACCAGCCCTCCCCCCATGGCCCCCTGTAGCTGCTAGTTCTGCAGACTACATGTTAGCTGGAGAAGGGGAGCATTCTGAACCTGCAGTCACCCTGTCACGTATAAACTTTATACATAAATATGAAAGTGCACCACGAAGGGAAGTGAACCCTGCATTGGAGGGACACTTCTACAAGACACCTTAGATCTTAAACAGCTTCCACCGCTGACAATTAGAGCCAACTATGACTATGATATCATGAAAAGATCAGACCAGTTTAGCAAACTTTTCAAATATTTATTTATTTTTTATTAATAAATTTCAAAATAATGCAATGGCTTTAAAGTTATCATACCTCAGAAGTTCATACCAGCCCATACTTCCCCTACTGCAGCACTTTATATCGGTTTATTCTTATAATTAAGACTCCATTGGGTTTTCTTTGACTTGTTTGTGTGATAATGAAAGGGAGATCAATATAGATTTTTTTTTTCCATTCATACCATGCAATTTCATCAAAGTCATTTAAATCAATCCATGTTATGCTTCTTGTCAAAATAGTTAAAGTTCTTTTAGATTGGATGGAGAATATTAATGTACAGTGCCTAACCTTAAACCCTGATGTTTACTTGGATTTGGGTCCAACATGTCTGAACCCTTCTACTGTTGCTCTAAACTGAAACATCATTCATATTCCAGTTGTAAGGTTGGCTGTCACTACCTGATCCATCCCATCAGCTCATTTGTCCATGAGCAACCAGATATACATCTAGGTTTCTATAATCAATGTAATTCTGGTACTAAAATGACTTATTTTTTATCCTAAAATCATTAAAGAATGTAAATACAAACCATTTTGATGCTTTTTACGTTTTCTCCATTAAACTGCTTATCTGACGTCATATTTGGACATGCTCAGAATAGTCCGGCAAGATACAATTAAACCATGTTTATCTTCTTTAAGTTGTTTCTTTCTTTAGGTTACGCACTTTATACCATAATGTTAACAGGAAGGGAAAACATAAAACTCAAAAAGACTCAATTTATGTTTAACTCCAAAGCCGTAAAAGTTGCCTTCTGGAAGTAGCATAGGATCCCATTTCTGGAATAAAGTGGGCACAGGTGAGTTATAGAACAGAAAGGATTTAAATGCATTGATTTTCTCAGAAAATACAATATTAACGTTTGACATGTTATACTTTAGTATGCTTATTATATTTGGGGAGGAAAAAACATAATTTAGGTCTTTTTTATAAAATAAAATCGAGGGCAACCTGGACGTATATCTGGTTGCACAAACGAGCTGATGGCACGGATCGGGTAGTGACATGGGCCTCTGCTGCATTTTAAAGATTATTTGGAGTCTGTAACAGATCTTCCACAATTACCTATTTTTTTTTATTTTTATCCCATTAACTGTGACTAGTCTCCACTATTATCCATCCCTCTAAGGGAAACTTCCATTAAGGTCAGATTTGTGAGGTTTGTGTCAAAAAGCCTTCCCAATGACATGTTCTTCCATCTGTGCTGTAAAATGGTTCCTATATTTTTGTAAATGTTAAACATTATTTTAATGCAAAGATATGTGTCTAAGACAAAAAAAAAATATTAATCTCTTATCATTGCAGCTGCTCTTTTTGTTTGCTTCTTTGATTAATTCCCCCCTTGGCCAGCCTGTCAATACAACAGTTCTAAAACATGCTCTACGACAAACATCAAAAGGCAAAATCTAAATGTTAAAAGGTTGCAATTCTTTGGTAGTTGGGCTCAGGGCGACACTTTGCTCTATACAAAGTGAATTCTATGGTCTGCAGGCATCAAACAGAAATGCTGGCCACTGAAACGGCAAGCTGTATTTGCCTTTCTTGACAGCAGCAAAGGGAATGCAGACTTGCCTAGCCGTGTAGAACAATACAATAATGATTTGTGACGACCTCAACCACAAGCTGCTGTGAGTGTAACTGGCATCTGTCTGCAGAGACATATTTAACTCAGCGGCCCGACTGGGACTGAGAGTGGTGCATTGCCACTGCCAGAGGCGCTAAAGGCTTATAATGTCAGCGCCATGACCTGCATAGAGGCAGCGAGTGGCAGGTTGCTCCCCAATTACATGACTTATAATTGCATTTATAAAGATGGATCTATTGTCTATTTGAGAAACTTTAACCCCAGGGCTGAGATGACGAGTAAAGAAAAATAGTGGGGATGCACCAAGATGAAAATTCTTGGCCAAAACTGAAAACAAAAACATGAGGATACTAATGCCGAAAACCAAAACACTGAGAGAAGCTTAGTTGGCATTGGCTACAATGTCTACTAACGCTTTCAAATTAATTATATATATATATATATATATATATATATATATATATTTATTAGGGATGGGACGATTTATGAAAACCGTCCGAACCGTTCGGTTCGACTGTCTCGGTTCGGTCCGCGTGTGTTTCGTTCGTTTCATGCGCTGCTCCTATTTCTCATAGGCGAAGCGTTTACACTCCAGAGCAGAAGGTGGCGGTACTGCGACCAATGCCAACCGCCAGTAGTAAACAAGAAGAAGCGGCGAAGCAGCTTAGCCGGGTGTAGCAGAAAAAAATCAGTTGTTGTGGAGAATTGTGTGGGTATGGCGAGTGGGAAAGAACAGGAGTTGGAAGACGCGCCAGCAGCACTTTATAGGTCTGCTGTATGGGAGCGCTTTGCATTTAGAGTGACCTACGATGACGGCGGAAAGAAAGTTGTGGATAAAAGTGCAACAGTGTGCAAGCATTGTGCAACACGTTTTGTTTATGCTAACAGCAACATGACCAACATGTCATGCTAACCCCGAAATCCCTCATACTCCGTCAGCAACCACCGCTCTGCCCCGCTGCGCTCCAGACCGCCTGCTCAAAGCAAAGCCTACAGCCCCCACTGTGGCTCCCGTCCGCTCCCCTCTGAGTTCCTTGGAGATGGTAGAGAGCATGCGCGAGATGATTAAATTCAAAGCAGCAAAACCTACGGAAATGATCCAGGGTTTCCGCGGATCATTAAAAATAATTACAATAAATTATTTTTTGGGGGATTTTTTCATTAATTTCATAAATTTTTATGGGATTTCGGTGTAACAATCAACAAATACCGAATTGAAACGAACCGAAAACCGTGACAAAGAAACCTTGAATCGAACCGAACCATGGATTTTGTGAACCGTTCCACCCCTAATATATATATATATATATATATATATATATATATATATATATATATATATATATGTAAATGTTTATTTAATTTCCCTTTGAAAGGATTAATAAAGTTTTTTGAATTAATTTGAATTTATTAACCACTGGCAATGTCATGTCCTTTATCTTGGCAGAATATCTGTAAAACTTTCTTGCATTTCCAAACACGTCACCACAGACAGTGGCCATGTTTGGTAACAGCTTCCTTTTCTGTGTCGAATTCTTCTCATATTCACAATGTGGACGTTTGGATTTCTATGGCAATTTGTGCCACTGAGCACGCATTGAGACCTTTGTGCAGAGTTCAAACTCATGCACCCTCACTCAGAACCTGTCAGCCACGCACTCAATTACAAACTCTGCTCCACCACCTGAGCAATCTTACTTCAGTACTTTACTTCACACAGTCAACGTTTCTGCATATTGGCTGTACTGTTTGCTTGCAATCCTTTCCCCCCCGTGCTTGATGTGCTGTTTGTCGAGTCATCGCAAGTTTCATCCGTGTTGTTTTGGCGTTAAATTTCTATTGGCTGAAAACTGAAAATGCACTTTTCAGTGCATCCCAAGAAAATGACCTCTTAACGGAAAAAAGGGTAATGGATAAATGCATAATCACTCAGCACTTTTGAGTTAAAAATAAACTTGAAAACGATTAAAACAATAGAAGCAGATCTAGGTTTTACATTTAAATAAGCAAAAAAAGAAAAAAGAACTGACTTATGTAGTTCCAAAAGAGTGGCTTTGTTTTTTTTATTAATTAAAAGTCTTTTGGTTATTAAGAAATCCTTGGCCTTCTTACACCACGGCACTTCCTGGCTGGAAAAAAATTATTCATCCCTCACAATTTCAAGTACTATTTCTTATGTGTTGTTTCTTTTATATTCCGAATTATTAGATTTATTTTATCAGAACATTTGAAGAATAACAACGTGGATATCTTGTCAACAATTCCCAATTCAAGCTCATGACAGAAGGCTCCTTTCTTTATTCAATAAGCCAACGATGATCAAATCCAAGGCCGCAGCAGTCAGTTATTTTAGTAATTGAATAATTCAGCAATTTTCATTTTCCAGTAAATCTTTAAAGAGATACTCTTACCAAATTACTGACCTAAAACAAGTCTTTGAACTTATAAACAAGCATTTTTAACTGCATTGTCAAATGGCGAAAAAAAAATAAAAAATACACAAACTTAAATGTGCTTAAAGGAGTTCTGGATAAGTAGGGTTTTCAAATGCAAAATGATTCCATTTTTACAGTATTTGCTTACTGCTCTACCTGGGTTACCTTTCAGCAAATGGCCCCTTGAAGAGTTTACATACGTATATAATTGAATTAAACAAATACTAAAGTAGCTTGCCCTATAGAAGTCATTCATGTCATCTTCCCGCCTTACCTGTGCTGGTGTGTCTGTCTCATTTATTGGCTGTCCGTCAAATCTGAACCGGATTTGCCTCATCGAAAGTCCCTGGGAAGACGTAAAACGCTTGTCATTCACAGTCACAATCCACATTAAAAACACTTATGCAACAACCTAAGTTTGCTAATAATAAGACAACAATCAAAGACCTAAAAGAGGAGGAATGTGTTTGTTTGATGGCCTTAAAACACACCAACATAGTCAATGTTTGTACAAAACCAAGACTTTCTGGGTGAATCTGCTTCAGTATCAAGGACTTTATTGCTCTACAGCAACAACCTCAGACTTCATTGTCCCTGAGCTTGGAAAGAAATTGGCAATGGAAGTCAAACATGCGAATCAGAACCAAAGCAGCATGAAAATCACTTTCTGAACCCATATAAAGATTTTAAAATTTAACGACAGTCTTGTGCACTGACACTCTAGTGCAATAAATGCTTAAGATTAAAATCTGATTTTGAAAATAACCACCTATCTATTATTCCACCAGTTGCCAGTCTGTTGCAGGGCAACATAGAGACACACAACCATACATACACACACACTTTCAGACACTTAGGGACTATCTAGATATACCATTCAACCTAACAGTCATGTTTTTGGACAGGAGGAGGGCAGAGAACCCAGAGAGAACCCTTGCATTCACAGGGAGAATTTGCAAACACCATGCAGAAAGACCCCGGGCAGGGATTCGAACCCAGAACCTTCTTGCTGTAAGGCAACAGTACTACAACCTGTGCCACCACATGGAGCAAATCTTCTTATGAGGAAAATCCAGTAAATGTATAGATTGTAGCAATGAGAAGTAGACATGTACAGTCTGGGATATCTCTTTTTCTTGTTATGTCTTACAAACATAATAAATGCTCTAGGTGTAACAACTGGAGCTCCTGTTGGTGCTGGTTAGAAGTTCCTTTGCAGCTGGAAGAAATGGACACTGCTGCCTGCTTTCACCCTCTGGAAGGAAAGTATTTCCAAATGTGTCATTTCCCTTTACCCCCATGGTGTATAAACCCCAGCACCTTAACTGCTTCTAAAAAAATCTGTGACGGAATGGGTCCCTCTCAGGAGCTCAGTGAGTCCCTGATTGGTACTGAAAGCAGAATGTGACGTGGCCCTTAGATTAGCCCAAGAACAGAACACAGAAAGCTTCATGGAATGTGATCCCATGGCCAAACAGCTGCATCCAAGCCTTACATCACAAAGACAACTTGTCCAGTGGTGTAAAATTGTATTTTTCAAACTGGCTCCTCCAGATCTACTCTCCTGGATGCTTCCGGTGTTTCCCTGATCCTCACATAATTGGTCATTAACATTTATGTCAGGTGCAGCCATTAGTGGTAAGTCATGAATACTGTTATTTGATGCAGGCTGGGGCGTCCAACGTTTAAAAACCATTGTGGTAAACCTCCTGGACTCTGGAGCGGAATAGATCTGGAGAGGAATAGATCTGCTTTCTGAAAATCCAGTAATGAGCCTGGATTCAGCTGCTAGCCAAAGAATGGTAGTTGTTTGTTTGCATCGTAAAGTCCCATAAAATCCTGAATTTTAACATTTCAAGCTGTATAGCAGCAAAAGCTGCCCAACATCAAATCCAGCCCGATGGGTAATGATTGTTCATTCATATGAATGCAGATGTGTAAGGTAGGGGAGTGGTGGCCTAGTGGTTAGAGCATTGCGCTTGGATCCCGGAGGTTCTGACTCCCACTCATTCACACAGCCTCAACTCTGGGTCCCTGAGAAAGACCCTTAACCCCAGACTGCTCCCTGGGCGCCGCACAGTGGCAGCCCACTGCTCCCCAATGGGATGGGTTAAGATGCGATAAAGGGATTTACATTTAAATGTGTTTGGTTAAATAGTGTGCATTGAAATATGATGAAAAAAACTGTTCATTTTTTTAGATTTAAACAAAGCTGGATGAGATAAAAACAATTTCATGGCTTTTATTCTCTACAGTTGACCTTAAGTGAGCTGCAGTGGATTAGACATTGTTCAGCTAAAATATGATGCCTGATTCATAACATAATGTCACAAATTTATTGTCAAGGGAAATCTTAATTACATCTTAATTAACTGAGTCACTAAGGTCACAATTTGAGCCAGAACCTTAACATCACAGTGAATAAATTCCTAGTGCTTTGTAAAAAGATAATAATTACAAAACAATTTCGCTTCTCAAACGAGAAAGACAAGTGCATAGTTTGGAGGTGCTGCTCTGAAATAAAAACAAGCTCCTTAGCTGGTCCTTTTAAAAAATGAATTCAGAAGCAGATTATCCTTAACGTTTGTTAGATGGTAAGAACTTTACTGTGCGAAAATGTTTCCACACAGGTTTACTTTATGACTAAAAGCTGCAACATACAGGGAAGGGTCCAAGTACAGTTACTGACATTAAGACAAAAAAATAGAAATCTAAAATAAATGGGTCAGATGTTCTAATACCTTCTGCTTTTCGTTTGAGTAATATCTCATGATCAAACCTTTTCTAGCATCCCGCACTACAAAATGAAGAATAAAGGTGTGTAGCATTTGTGTTGATATTGTAATCGGGTCGATAACAGTAAACAGCCTTTTTTAGTAAAATGGGAATAATCTTATGTTTGGGTGAGAACGACTGCAGGATTCCTTACATCTGAGAGGCTATTTGCCCACCTGTCTCTCGCAGTAAGCCTTCATGAGTTTGATGAGTGGCGTGTGTCTTTTGATCTTGAATTGCACCACAGATCCATCCTGTCCTGCTACCTTCAGGTTTATGTGTTCGTTGTTTTCCGTCTTGACGCCCTCCTGAGTGAAAAGGCACAAGATAAAAGAAGAGAGAGGTTGGGAATTAGAGTTAAGGGTCACTGTTTGCTAGGGAAGGTTATTCATTGGGATTTTCTGAGGCAGACTGAGTAAAAGTGGTGTCTAATTGTACAGCAGAAGGAAAATGTTAAGCATTTGTTTTCATGAAAATCTGAAAAGCCTGATGTTTATTTATACTCAGTCTCTAAAAGTTAATGCTGGGTAGAACATAATTTTTCTGCAGTTAAATCTGCAGCAGCCAGAGGTTTACATTTTGCCAGCCCTTCTAAGCCAAACAGCTTAAACTCTTTCTGATTGGATGGAAAGCACATTGTGGATCGCCTCTGAGCAGGACACAGCATCATGCTGCCACAACCATTCATGACCATTGCATAATGTGTTTTCCATGTGAGGCATTTTTTTAAATTTCACACTATCTTTTGAAACATGCTCTACAGGGAGTCCACAACTTTCTATATTGCTGCAACACCTAGTCCTGGTTTAAACTTTTCTGCAACTTAAGCTGACTGATCTGTTTCCTGGTCCGTAATCACAATTATCACTATATCAGCGTGGGAATACACAGATCTGCTTTGATGCAATACATGGAAAGTCATGGCATTTCAGACACAAAGCATTAAAACGCCAAGCTCCAATTAGGATGACTTTGATCACCCCTTATGGCAACAACTGATAAAGATCAGACAGTGCAAAAAATGTACATCTAAACAAGTCATGTTTTCCTGAAATAATTGCATTTTTTTCTTGAACTTTGCGACAGGAATAGAACAAATTACATTTAAAATAATTAAATACAAATATAATAGATAAAACTATTGCATTGTCTTATTTCAAGTGCATATTACCTAATAATCTTATTTAAAGAGTAAAAATGCTCATTCCATTTGCAAATCCCCTTATTTACATACTGAAATGAGGGGTAAATACACTTACTTACACAGTAATTTTTACTTAGTTCTTGATCATATTTTCAGTGTAGCAATCAGTTTATCATATATAAATCAATATCTTCGTCATGTCTTATGTTCTTCATCAAAATGCGCCCTTAACAGAACAGCTAAAATCACACAAAGAGGTATTATAACTGATTTATAAGAGTAATAGGTTATCACTTTCACCTTTTTATTTACAATGATGCTCCATTTTGCATTGCATATAAAAAAAAAATCACAACAAATGAGTTCAGTGAGCATTAAACAGTTTAATAGCTATGAATCATTTTTTAAACTAATTTAATCAGCAACCAAAAAAAGTACGAGGAAATAAGATTTAGTATTTGGATTTAAAAATCCCCAGGAATTGCTTTTGACTTATAAAGTTTGTGTAATAAAATGGAAAACAATGTTTTGCATCTTCATATTTCCATGTGATCAATTACACTAGTGTTTATACTATAACAGCTGCTTAACATTGAGAGAACAAGCAGAGAAAAACCGGGCTGCGCGCGTTCACATGCGCGCTCCCAAACCTTCCGGTCTATCAAAGTAGGTAAAGCAGATAGTTGCATTTCAGTATGCAACTTTCAAAACAATCATAACGGAAAATTCCGGATTATATCTTTGTTTTTAATCGTTTCATATCACACGACCTATAAAATGGATTAATATTATCGGTTAAACAGCACAAAGACTTACCTTTGGTTTCTCATCAGCCATGGTCACTCTTTTGGCGCTTCACTATGCTGCCACACAAAGAATACGGGTACGCGCACGTACTCGTGCCCGTCTAAATTATTCCGAACGACGTGCGCGGTCCTGTGTCAGTGCGCGTTCACCTCACGCTGCATTTACTGGCCAGGGGTTGTCACGAGGGATAGAAGCGCAGTCACGCACATGGGCGGGAGACTGATATGCGCGTTACAGAGGCCCCATTTCACGTGCACGCGCACACTGATGTTTTTTTTTTTTTTTTCTTCCCCCATTTGATGGTGTACTTTCTCAGTTTGTAGCCCTGATTTTCTACAAAACACACGTAATCCCACTGATGGTCTCGAATCTGTGTTGTAACTTTCAGTTCTGATCATCAGATGGCGTTATACACGTTTAGAGAAAAGCAACATGATGTTATTGGTGTTTGTACGTCATGTCCCAATGGCCATTTTGTTTCACCTTCTAAGCATAATAGAAATGATCAGCTAAAAGAAATATCCCTAAATTCCAGCTTCTACGGGGGGTTTAAAGGATTATTTTTCAGTAAAATACGTGAAGCTTTAAATTCTCCGCATACGAAGCTGATCCAGTATTTGGACATTTTTAATATGTGATTATCTACGCATCGGAGGAGGAAAAAAATAATAGCCATCCCTGAGGACACGGTCGGTAGGAAAATTCAGGCAATGAGAAGGGCAGCCCAGGCGCATGCGCACTAGCGGCTTCTTAACGGAAGACAGAGGCGCGTAAACGCTGGAAGTGAAAAGCACATGTGTTTCATAGCATGTTTATAGCTGAATTATTCGAAATTTAGCTACATATAGGATCTGTTGTACTGCTCCCTGATGGAGGAAGTGGATGTTGACCCGACAGTCACTGTAAGTTATCTTTGTAAGGTTCATTTTATTCATTCAATGCAGCCAGACTGAGTTTCACTGCTAACCATTTAGCTAAGTAACGATAATCTGTTTCAAATTCTCACAGTCATTGAATAAGAAGGCGTTTATACCCCGCAAAGACGGCCAACGTTTCTAATAGTAATAAACTGTGCTCCCTAACACACTGAAATTATGTATCTATCTATCATCTGTGTATCTATCATCTGTGTATCCATCTGTCATCTATGTATCTATCATCTATCTATCATCTATGTATCTATATATCTGTCATCTATGTATCCATCTATCTATCATCTATGTATCTATCATCTATGTATTTATCTATCATCTATGTATTTATCATCTATCTAAACTATCCATCCATCCATCTATCTATCTATCAACATGTTTAATATGTGATAGACTGATGCTGCCTGATTTAATTATTTTAGAAATAACATAAACCTGAGATCCATTGTCAAGTTTAATTTAAACTGTATTTGTTGTTTTTTTTGTTTTTGTTCGTACATTACTGGATACTCTTGGAACACGAACACTAAATCTAAAGAGTTGCTTGTTTGTTTTTCTATCATTTTGTATGTTGTTTCAATACAGAATATACCAGGAATCAGACATGGGAAGCATATGGGTTTTGCCTGGGGTCCTGGAGACATCCTTGTTTATGAGACACAATTTAAGCCATCGGGTATGTCTGCAAACTGCCTCTTACAAAGGCATTGTTATTATTATTATTTTATTGTAGATTTGATCACGTAACAACCAGAAAATGTTATATTTTATAGGATTTTTTGTGATAGACCAACTCAGTGTGAGAAAGATATAAAAGGTTTACAAATTCTAAAAGTATTGCTATTCCACATAGTACAATCCTTTTTTGCATCTACATCTGCAGGTTTTTGGAGATATGCATCTTTTCACATTTAAGGACTAATTTTTCTGCCTATTAATAAAAAAAAACTGCACACTCTCAGGTTGAATGGAGAGCTTCTGTCAACATTCATCAAAAGTTTTGCCAAAAAATTCTGAATTAGATCTAATGAGATTAGATTAGACCTCTAAATGCTGTCTGTATTGTCACAGAATTTGAGTTACACACATTGGATTACTCAGATTAGAGAGGGGCTGCGTAGAACTGTATGCCACATTTTTATTTTCTTCCTTAACAACTGAGCTCTGTTTTTGAGGTGGTCTGTCACATAACAGATGTATGTTAATGCTTCTACCTGAACACACTGTGAATAATAAAGGGTTGCTATAGTTTTCTGGGACTGTCCAGCCTTGCCTCTCTGGGGGTTGTGACTGTCTTGTTTGTCTTCCTTCCATATTCTAGGTTCCTTGCTGCCAGATGCAGGTGGGGCCTTCATCCACAAGGTCAGGAAAGATGAGGACATATACTCCCCGATTTTGCGCAAACTTTTCAATGAGTCGCATCACATCTTTGTTGGACTGCAGACGATCAAAGAGGACGTCCCCAGCAAGAGCAAAAGACACCAGTAAGTCCATTTGATCACATAACATTTTAGCTCCCCTTTGGCCAAATAAGTTATTTACATAAAATAATTTTTAGGCTGTGTCATTATTTTATTTTTTTAATCTGTAGCCTGTCTGTCACGTTTTTATAGATTTGTCAGCATCAGTAGAAACTATAGATCTGTGATTCGGGCTTGCATGGAAGAGCTCCAGCAAGTTGCAGGTAATTCCCCTGAAAAAGTGATTGAAATGCTTTTGAATTGTTTTATTGAGGTTAAAAAAAGTACATTTTTTTAAAAATTCCCTCATGTACATTTATGTGTTTTTTGTAGTTTCCACGAGGGATACCGAAATGGCCACACAATACGGAAATCAGGCATGTATCAGCTACTTTAGATATACTGGGTTTATTAGAGTGTTTTATTGTCGTCTATTAAAATGTAGATTTTTCTTGTTTCAATCCTCTCAGTGTAATGACCTCGTTCACACTTTTTACTTTCCCCTTTAACACAACAAGAAACAAATCAGAGTTTAATTTTTGGTTTGGATCGTATTTTGTTAACTAAAAGTAAAAAAAACACTAAAATAGTAGGGTTCTAAATGACATAGTGAACCAACTTTTATTATTAATCAGCTTGTTAATCCAAACAAAGTTGTGTATGTATTAGGGCTGAACTTTTTTTTTTTTTTTTTAAACTATTTTTAACCAAAGTTACGATTTTTAATTTCATTTGCACTAACCCCAAGCTTGCAGCTGTTTCACCTCCAGGCTTTTGGTTTTTGAAAGCTTGCTTGCCCAGAGTCCATTGTTATATAGCTTTAATTCCATTCATGGATCTACGTGCTAGCTGCAGCTCTCTCTACCTTTCTGTGTGAAAACAAATCCATTTCAAGTGTTTAATCACCACCTAAAGGGCTGGAGGATGAAATTTTGTGTCCTACTCTTGTTAAATATCGTGTGAATAAAAATCAGTGTCTCTGCAATTTGGAAATTGCATGGTGTCACTTTGCAATTATTTTGCAAAAGCAATTAATTGCCCGGCCTTAGTATGTATGGAAAAAGAGCTTCCTGTATTAATGAAGTATTCTCTGGCAGTTAAATGTGGAAGAACTAATCTAGGTCATCCTTTGGAACAATTTTCAGATACCTGATGCTACTAAATCATTACTACGTCTAATTAAATATAAGTCAATGTAGAGTGGGGATGTATTCAGCTTTTGTTTATTATAGAAGTGATTTTTCAATACGTCTCTTTCATAGACATAGAGGTAGTCCTATTTATAGTCATGGGTGTGGGAGGTAATGTGTGACCTTAGTGCAGGAGCTGAAAAGGTAAATTTCTGGAAGTATTTTGCAGATAGAAAAGAGATATCCTAGCTGTAAGAAAGCAGGAAAACTTAAATTTGAATTGTTTTGTTTGAATAGGAGGGTAAAAGGCTTCGATTAATATGATTTGCCTTATTATTATGACAAAAAGTGTCAGAAAATGATCATTGTTCTGACCTTTTCCAACTCTTTGCCTGTCTTGTCACAGGTTTCTATTCTTTTGGCCATAGAGCTGATCTGGAACCTGTGTGAAGTGCTTTTCATTGAAGCTGCCCCTGGTAAATCTATTTTATTTTATTTTTATTTTGATCCAGTTTCCTTCTTTTTGAAGATCTCCCACTTTTTCTTTTGTGAAATGAAAGCGAACATTGTTTTGATTTTCCCAGCTGGCACTCTCTTGCTTCACCTTCTGGACTGGGTGAGGTTACACAGGGCTGATGTGGAGGAGAAGGCAAAGGACGTGCTGCAGAGCGACAGCCCTGCAGAGCACCACAACTACTGGGATGTGGTAGGTCCTGAATAGGTTCTAGTAGTACTGATGTTCATGATCCGTACAAGGCAGTGGCAGATCTCAATTGTTGTGTGTTTGGTGTTTGCAGGTGGTGAGTTACGTCCTGCAGGGCAGATTGGAGGAAGCCAGACAGATGCTGGGGAAACAGGCCAGCCTACAGCCAGCCTCCAGGGACATTTATAAGCTAATGGACGGCTTACTCAGCAAGATGCCCTTTTTCAATGTTAGTATACTATGAAGTATGCTTTATTGCTTATGGTTAATGAATGAAATTATATGATACTGGAAAAAGTACTGGTTTTCAGTTTGGATGCCTTTCACGATCACAAGAATTTATTTTTGTTATGATGTATAATGATTTCTGACCTAAAAAAAATTACTTTCCAGAGTGAGAACCAGCAAAGCTTTATATGCAGAGCTTCTTACACCCAAATAAATGCTTTGTTTCCAACCTACTGCATTAAAATGAGCCTTATTAAAAGGGTGCACAGAATTTAGAAAACATTTAATTGCTATTTCTTTCCGTCTTCTGTCGTTGGATGAAAATGTCTTTGCATGAACCAGCTGATAGCGTTCCTGTCTTCATTTTCTAGCCTGCTGGCACTCAGACACTAACAGAGTTTGATGTGAAGTGGAAGAACTGGCATGAAGAGGTGGACCGCTGCCTGAGCGATAATTCCTTTGCGAGCAACGGCCATCTTGAGCTCATCTGTAAGGTCAGAGACCCTCTGATTGATTATCATCTATGTTTGGTCCTGTTTTTGTAGTAATTATGTTTATTTGGAGGGTTTGAAAACATTATAAACACTTGTTTATACTAACGTTTTTTTTTTTATATATAATCCATCATGATTTGAGCTTTTTACGACATTTTCAGTCTTTGTTGGTTTGTTGCTTTTCTAGATCCTTGTGGGCGATGAAGACACTCTGCTAGAGCAGAAGGAGTTGCTCGGTACCTGGTATCACTTCCTCGTCACTCGACTGCTCTACTGCCACCCTACAGTGAAACCAATCGAGTTACATTACTACGCACAGGTAAACGCCACTCTATGCAGTGTTGTACCGCCTCTTACTGCTACAGCGTGGCTTTACTCTTCTTCTCTTTGCATTGCAGTCATGCCTCACAATGTTCTTGGACTCGAGGAGCGTCCAGGAGCCTTTGGACAGCATCTTACTGGCTGCCTTTGAGTTTGACATTTATCTGGTGATCAAAGACTGCAGGTAGGATAGTAGAACGATGTTGTGTTGATCTCCAGAGATAAGCAAAAATATTTATTATTAAAAATATTTCTTTAACATCTTTTAATTTCCTTCTTTTTTTGCTCAGCATTGTTCTCAACAACTGGTGGTTTGTGGCTCATTTAACGGACCTGCTGGATCACTGCAAACTCCTCCACTCTCATAATTTAAAGTAAGGATCCGTTAGGTTGTAAAGTTGATTTGGAGATGACAGGATGGTGCAGATTAAAATGGCAATAAGTAAAAATTTATTGTAAAATGAACCAAAATCATTCTCATTTGTCACTCGGGATGAAAGTAACATTCCCTAAAAACACCTGTCCTTTCCACCAACAGCTTCTCTTCTTTTGAACCTAGAGGTACGGAGCAGATCTACTTTGGTGGATTGTGTAGTACATGTTTACTTCCTGGTTTTTGTAACCAATCATAGGAGAGTTCTCTTGGTTCCCAAAATGGAGAGCAGCATTTGGTAATTTATGAGAAGAGCAGCCTGCAAACATGGAAACCAGCAAGAAAGGCAGAAAAGAAACGGTCTCAACAATACCTAAGAAGACTTTGCATTATGGCTGAAATGTCTTTACTTGCCTTTTTGAACGTATGCCTCTATTGACTGCTGAAAAATAGTAAAATCTGGTATCTTTCTTAAAGCTACAGTGTGTAATAATTACAGGGATATACAGTCAGAAATGTAATATATTATACATAACTATGTTATTTATCATCTACGAGCTCAGCCTTTTAACCTTAATATTTGCGTTGCCTTAGAATTCGTTATTTATAATTACATAGGAGCGGGTCTCGCAGCCATGGAGGCAGACATCTTTGCGCTACGGCAGCGCAGAGCCAACAAACTAGTGATTGCGAGATCGCCCATTACGCTCGAAAGTAACTACGGCAAGTTGAGAGAGATGAACTGAGACGTTACTGAACACACAGACTAATGAAATACTATCTGTAAAATTATCTATGTAAACAAACCTCATCACTTGAGAAGGTAGGTGATGCGGACGTCGTGGAAGACATTTTGTCCCGTAACGCTCGCCGTACTGTTGGGGGGGAGAAGCGGTGGGGGGGAGATGTTCATGTTGCTGCAGTCTGCAGTCTGACCGCTAGATGTCGCTGAAAAGTACACACTGTAGCTTTAAAGCACATTTTAAAAAGAGGTATTCCTTGGAAAACAGACATATAATTTCACTCTTGTTGCCCACTTCTAACGGAGGGAGGTATCTTATTTGGGCTCCAACTTGAATAGATTCTTCCAGAAAAAGATGTCTTTTCCAACACTTCCTCGTTAAGATCTTAGCTAAAAAGTAGGAAATACTGCTACTGCTGCTACAGGGTTGTTTCAGTGAGGCATTTATGGTCATAATTTTCTCAGGGTCACGGTTTGCTATCTTTCTGAGAAGAAAAAGCCAGAATATCCAGTAATTTACATCGGAATTTATTCTGGATTACCTCTAACTCTGCTTTATGGAATGTGGTCTAGGTGCCATTTTTACACAAAGCTCTAATATTAAGGTGTTTCTGTTTGTGTTCAGCTTTGGATCCAACATGAGAGAGTTCCTCCTGCGGGAGTACGCCTCGGGTTTATTCACTCATCACAGGTAGACTTAAATTCTTAAGGTTCACATGCTCCTTCCTTTCTTTTTCTCTGTTTTCTCTCTTCCTCACCCTCATGCTAGGGGTGAGCGATGTATTTTTTTTATTTATTTATTCGTTTATTTGATAGGGACAAGTATGTTTCATGCATCATGTCACACACTACAACATTTTAGCTAAGGCTAATTCTCAATGCCTGTCCCCAGTTAGGCTTTTACACAAAACACAGTGACTGTACACAAGAAACAACAGAGCAAATTGCACATTAAAACATCACAGAAATAAACTCAGGTCAGTTAGATTATTAATGTTCACATGACTGACCTCTCAATAAAAAGTCTTTAAGTTTATGTTTAAAAAGGACCCAGTTTGACTCTCCCTTCAGTTCTCCATGTAATGTATTCCATGTTTTGGTGCCTTGTACAATTAAAGCTGATTGACAGAAAGAGGTTTTGCGTCTGTATCGAATATACTCCACAAATCTCAAGTTTTCCCACGCACAAAGTTAAAATGACTATCGCAGCCATCGAGTACAAATTTGCATAATGGCTTTAAACTGTCTGCATCTATTTCACTAAGTTTTATTTTTCCCACACACTTTGAATGCATCATAAACCCCTCGTCTAAACAGAAATATGGCAACAGCAGGTGTTTCAGCTTAGCAATATATGGCAGTTGTGTGGATTTCACGCCAAGGACGTCGAACAAAAGGTGGTAATATGTAAGATGTGCTGCAAAAGGTAGCAGTAGAAATTTATTGCTCCACCTAAAAGTAATTCGCTGCAAAATGAAGAATGTTGTCAACTCTGCTTGCCAGCAATGATGTTGGCGTTGCCGTTTGAAAAAGCGAAAGGAAAAAGTAGAGATGGAGGGAAATCACAGAAGCTATTTATTACGTTATTGAGATGTTTTTTAGAAGCTCTAATACCTGTGATGTGGTCTTGTTCAGAGGTTTTGCAGGTGTTCTCAATTTTACTACTTTGTGCTTCTTTACAATTCCTTGCACGTAAAAGTCAAAGCAAATAGTTTTGAAAGCACCAGTAATCCTCTATATTTTAGACAGTGTTTTCACTTTTGTGTTTGTAATTTGAGGTCAATTTCTTTTATTGTGCTTTTCTTTTTCTTTTTTTTATTATGCACAAAAGAGCCCTTTTTTATTTACATTTTATTTAGTATTGTCTTTTTTTCTTTGTTTCCTGTTTGATTGCTGGGATCTTGTTAAAGATTTATTACTGACACTGAAAGACATAATATGGAAGAATTATTAGTGAAAAGCTTTGAGCTGGTAAAAATAGGTGGTTTTGAATTTGAAACCAAATGTTTGAATGAGCAGTTTTATGCTGTCTTATTGTTTTTGAGGGTGATTTGAACATATCATGATATATATCGTGTATCGCGATATAGCCCAAATAATTTGTGATATAAGATTTTCTTCATATTGCCCAGCCCTAACTCATGTCCTTCCTTACTTCCCTCCTCACTCTTATGTCCTACCTTCCCTCCTTGCTTTTCTTCCTTTCTTAGTCTGCTTTTCCTTCCTTCCTTGCACCAATATTTATTTAGAATGTAATTAGAAGTTGTCGTTTTTTTTGTTTTTTGGATATTCTAAATGTCTTTCCTCCTGCTCTGCAGTCTCTGGCAGTGCGCTGTGGATTACTTTGACCACTGTCCAGAGTTGGGGCGAGCTTGCCTTGAGCTGCAGATCGAGCGTGTGCCTTTAGACACCGAACGCAAGGCGCTCAAAGTTCTCCGGATTTGTGAGGAGAGGCAGATGTCAGAGCAAGGTAAAAGCTTTCCTTTTCCCTTGTGTAACGTTATCAGGGGTTTGCAGTGCATTTTGCATTGAAACACTGCCTCCCTGTTTCTCTTTCAGTGCGGAGTATCTGTAAGATCATGGCCATGAGAGCTCTGAGGAACAACAGACTGGGCTCAGCTCTGTCCTGGAGCATCAGAGCCAAAGATGCTGCTTTTGCAACCCTCATTTCTGAGAGGTTATTAGTTTTCTCTGTTCACGTTGGGTTAACAGTGATCTCTTCATTTATGGGTTACAGCATCATTTAAAAGTATTCAGTCACATCACTACCACTGATTTCTCAGGGTAAGGATGCTGTGTTGTGGAAAACCATAAAAAAATCACACAACTGTAAAGAAAAGGAAAAACGGTGGAAGATTTTTATGTTTTATGAAACAAAACCTTCACATCTACAGTTATGTGACACTAAAGAGGTTCATTTCAACCAACTAGCTCAGGTTTCTGTTAAAGTTCCTTTGTAAAATTGACCAAAACAATAACAAATGAATGATTTTTTATTTTTATTTTTTTTAGGTTTCTACAGGATTATTGTGCCAAAGGGACTTTTTCTGACTTGGATCTGATTGACAATTTGGGACCAGCGATGCTCCTCAGTGACAGGCTGACTTTCCTTGGTATGAACACCCCTCCTCATCACACGGCGCCTCCCTTTAGACGCAGATGGGTCTTTCACAAGTTCAGTCTTCACTTCACACTGGGGAAAAAACATTCAGCATGTAGCTTCACTCACATTAGACTCAAAGAAACTGATCTAATCAGAGCTGCGCTGTGCTAAATGTAAAGCTGTAGCCTGACAGACTCTGCTTGGACCCAAACTTCTATAAAGATCAAGTTTTATCTAACATCTCACTTGTTTAGAAGTTGAACTCTCATTAAATGATTTTGCACAACAATGAGCTGCATGGATGTTGTTCTATTGCTTTCACTAGGAAAATACAGGGAGTTCCACAAACTGTACGGGGAGAAGCGTTACAAGGAGGCTGCAAAGCTGCTGCTCTCCCTCATGACGGCAAAGATCGCCCCCAGAAGCTTCTGGATGACGCTGCTGACGGACTCTCTACCGCTACTGGAACAGAACGAGGTCAGTCAACATCCTGGATGCCATTAAACCTTTAAACTGGGGATTAATGGTTAGAAATGCAAGGGGAAGGCTCTGTAGCGATGTGGTGTCTTTGTATTATAAGCTTTAGAAATACATTTTAGTCCTGCTTACAATTTTTTTATGTACTGAGGAATAAATTCTAGTGACTTTATTTGTTTATAGCAAACACTCGGTTTGCTATATAGCGGTATTTTTATTGAGTAATTATGTCTACTCTACTAATTCTTAGGGATGCACCGATCTGATATTTTTATTGGTATCGGTCCAGATAGAAGAAGAAAAACTAGATCAGTATCGTTGACAATTGACTCGATATAGGGGCTGATCTATTCATTCTAACTCTATGCTATGCTCTGCCGTCATGCGGCAGCGCAACAACAGAACATGGTCATATTAACTATAACACCACCAACTAAATGAAACACCTCCAGAAGTTTCATAACAAGGAACATGCTGAGATTACCGGACTCGGCAAACAAAAACGAAGCAGCGGGAAGCAGCTAACTTCTCGAAGCAAAGGAAGGAAGTAAAATTTTTCCATGTAGCAGTATACAGGCCAAAAAAAATCCCACAGATGATACTTGTAATAATTTATCATGTAATATAATATAATTTTTTTTATAATCTTTTTTTTTTACATGTTGACCAAGTCAGAGAACTTTTGGTTTAGGATTTTGCCCACAGTTGTTAAATGAATGAGTCATAACATTTATATTTGGGTTGGTTCCTATTTTGTTTTTGTTTTTTTAAGAAAAGGGAAGTCCAATCATATGCACAGAAGAATGGTCCCTTTTTTTCACACAATGAAACCATTTTTAAGCTAATAATTCAGTGCTGTTTTTGGTATCGGTATCGGCCGACATTACATTTCAAATATCGGTATCGTATTGGAGGTGAAAAAAGTGGATCGGTGCATCCCTGCTAATTCTGATATTATGTCACTCATAAATCTATCCAGTTAATATCCAAATGTAACTGCCAAATATGTACAGTGATGAAAGTTCAGCTTCTTTGTTTCTTCTGTGCTAAAATTTAGGTTGGTTTAAAAGACAGTTTTTCTGTCTAGCCACAACCTGTACTCACCTGAAAGCAGCAAGTGTAGCTGGGGGAAAAAAATTGTGATGGATGAGTTATGCTGCATCATAAATTTTCTCATTATTTGTATGTCTTGTCTGCCTTTGAGAGATTAAGCATCTCTGCTGCTATAAAATACGCAACAAATATTTGATTTGAAAGTCTAAACGGCAGAGCAAATGTATTTCAGCTGAGTTAAAGTTGCAGTCATGGCCCTTTAAACAGCAGTCAAGCAGTCCTTGGTGCATGCATTGCTTATGTTGATGTTGGAAAATGAATTGGTGCAGGAAGACACTCTGTCTTAATTAGAAACTCCACAGCTAAGAAGAAGTACAAAATCACTGAAATCACATTACAGCAGTTTTTTTTATTGCCATAATTAAAACTTTTAATGGATCAATTAACTCTAATTGGAGGTAATTTTTAGATGTATCTTGGGAAAAAAACATTTTTTTTTCTATTTCTAACCCTGTTTTCCTCTTTTCAGGTGATCTTCTCTGCAGATCAGACCTACGATTTGATGTATTGTTTAGAGGAACTGACGTCCTCACTGGACCCTGCAGCTCCTGGTGCAGATAGACCTATGCAGGTATTATTCTGCTTAAATGATCCATCTCTGAGTTTAAACTTTAATGTCAAAAGAAGAAGAAAGATCTCTATTTTTTTATAGCAAAAAGTTTGTAAGCTATAGATGCAAACTGCAGATAGATTCCCATTATTGTTTTTATATGAATATGTATAGGAGTTCCGACATCAAAGATGCAAATACTGGTCATAACGTGTTGAAAGTTTAAACTTAATTCTCCAATTGTTAAAGTGTCTAACAGGCTGATTCATACAAGTTTAATTTAAGCATATTTGTGTTTTCAGGAGGAAGACGTGGAGCAGACCAAAGTGGAGCTCCTCAGGCTCTCTCTGGCCAGGAATCTGTCTAAGGCTATCGTTAAAGAAGGAACCGTGGACACATGAGGGAGATTCGAGATTGGAAACACGGCTCTTTTTTGCCTGTTTTTGTGTTGTGTAAATATGAATAAAAATGAAACGCTCAAAATATGATTTTTGATAATAAAATACTGTTCATGATGTACATCTGATTTCTTTTTATTAGATAAAAAAGTACTATAGGACAAAATATGAATACATAGAGCTGGAAGTTTTAACCATATCATTAAGAAAAGTTTATGTGTGCACAACAAGAAAGGATTTATAAATCCTAAAACTATATGTGATCAAATGGTTACAATTTCCAAGAAGCAATAAGGAAAATATGGAGAGTGTAGACATACCTTATGTTTAAAGCTTTCACTTTTTTTCTTCACGTAAATTTGATGGGAGAATAACGTGCATAAGTATAGACACTATGTATCAAATAGTTGTAGACCTCTATGGTCATATGTTGTAAACCAAATGATCCAGAGCCAGGATCAAGTCTGGGCATGCTCTGCTGCTAAACCACAGGATCATCATTCCACAACTACGTTTTCTATCTGGACACTTTAAAACTAAACTTAGAAAACGAGCAAAGATTTTTGGTTGTATAATGAACGATGGTGAAATATCTAAAACATTTCCAAAGCCTTGATTTCATCCATGGATCATTTCTGATCTTTAAACTGACTTTTTTTTTTTTTTTGACAAATGGAGAAACGGGACAGTTCAGATCTGTATTTAGAAGCGAGATAAGGAATATGGTGAAGTCTATACCTGATGCATCTAATGACTTTGGAGAAATTAAATTTCTAGTTTTGTAAATACATTTAGGGCTGAAACTATTTCATTTCCAAATAGGAATATGCAGTATTGTTTTGGCCCTTGAGTGCATTCTAAACTACTTTATATTTAAATCTATAGTTTGATCAGACTCAAACTAAGTCAAGGCTAATAGCCATTTTTTATTTACTTTTGTCAAACAAGCAACAGTGAATATTTTAATAATGTGGAAACACTCATTAAAAAGGAAATTAAATCAATAATGTGACTGAAAGATGGCAGAGTCAGAAGATAAGCACTGCTAGATGGATTTACAACATTAAAGTCGAAGAAAGAGAATAGAAGGTTTAGCATCCATTTCCAAATCACACTTTGGTTTAATACTACAGAGTTTGAATGATTTATTGCATGACCACAGAGCATTGTGTCATTTACTGACACGCAGAGATCTATATAAAATTCAAAAAGACTGGGAGGTAATAGCAGTATGAATGGATACTATAAAGAAGAGGTTGTCATATCTCGACTTGGAATTGACTATACTCGACCTAAAAATTCTCTTTTCAAAATAGGGAAACATGAAACAGGGACTTGTAATTATTGTAATAAATGGAAATAGGATTTTCTATGATCAATCTTTTAGAAAGTAAATCAAATTTAGTTAGAAATCAATTAATTCAATAAAAAAAAAAACACTGGATTATTTAATCATATTTATTTGATTGCATAATTTATATATATTAGTGTGTATGGACATAAATTTGCAGATTCATGCATATCATTGAGGTATGTATTATTAACTTCCCTTTTACATTATTGATGACCAAACTCAAGTCTAGAAGGTGATGCACCTTAAGTTGGTTGCCATCCTCACCGATAAAAAAACTAAAGAAGAATAGTTTCATTATATTTAATAGGGAGGAAAAATAATGATAAATGTGAAGAATGTGTAGAAAAAGAAAATGTAGAACATATACTGATAAACTGAAACTTGTTAACATGAAAGGGAGAAATTGAGAAGGATGGTTAAAAGGACAGGCAAAGAATGGAGTCTTAAAGGAATATTGGGAAATTAAGGAAATATAAAGGATGTTTACAGATTAAGGAAAGCATTATTTATTTATCTACAGAATACAAAATAAAAAAGTAAAATTTGGTGTAAAGTGATGTTGCTACACACTCATTTACAGTAGGTGGCGGTATGCCCCTGAAAATTGCTTGCGATCCGCCATAATAGAAAAGAAGAAGAATAAGAGTTTCCACTTCATCCCATCTGGGGGCGATAATGAGCTTCAGACAACTGAACAATTAACATTAAACGAGAAGAAGAAGAAGAAGAAGAACGTCACATTTTCAACATGTCTGCTTCCATCTCAGGATTACTAAAACCTTGGACACCGAGGTAATTCTGACTATTTCATCTAAGAATGTCATTTCATCCGGTAAATCAAAACCATATGGATGATTGTTTACCAGTAAAGATTTGGTTAAATATCAATGGAGACCGTTGTGATCTGAAGTGCAAAGTGGCGTTTTGTTTAACCTGGAGCAGTTTTCCTATTTAGAGCGCTGATTAAACCTTTTATCAACCCAGTAGAGGAAATATTTATAAGATTAATAATATATGAGTACAAAATACATAGATCTAGATTGTGGATGAAAATAATTAAGAAAAAAGCCTTCAACAGTCAGTGAAAGTGTTTGCCTGTTAACATAATTTATTAAATAACAGGACATGGTGTACATTTTATCTTCTAACAGCCTCAAACCATTCAGTTTTATTTTAATTAATTAAAATTAAAAGTTCTAGTCCTGGATGTGCAGCACTTTCCTACAGTATTTTGTAAGCCACCAACCTCGCTGGATCATCACTGAAGTAGGGCAGAGATGTACATTGAGATGAGCATTGAGCACGTTTTATTTTTCGGTACTAATTTGGAAATGTTTGCTGCATATTTGTACTTAGCTCCCTTAAATTAATGTAGAACCATATGGTCTGTCTGATCACAATTATATTAGAATAGAATAGAAAAGAAAATCCCTTTATTGTCCCTCCATGGGGAAATTCAGATGTTTACAGCAGCAAAAAGATTATAGAAAAAATGGTCACACAAATGTGGACCTTAGAAAAATGTATAGAATGACATAATAGTGAAAAGATAAAGAATAAAGAAAGAAGATAAACCATAAGACTCTACTGTCAAGTTTTCTAACTATATAAAACTGCACTGAGGCATAAAACAACCAATATACAGCTATTTGACATTTTTACAGTAATGAATATTTGAAAATAGCAACATCAGAGATGTGCAAAATGACAGCAGCATCTTATTTAACTGATTAAGCGAGAAAAACCTTGCAAAATCACTGTGAATGTAAAAGGTTATTTAGGTTTTTTGGAACAGTGGTGGTGGTGGTTAAAGAAAAGTCCAGTGGCATCCAATCAGAGAACTGGCCTTCCTGATCACCTTTTCCAGCCGCCTTTTCTCAGTTACAGATAAGCCATTGCTCCAACGGAGAGCTCCATAGAAGATGGCTGATGCCACAGTAGTCATAGGAGGTCTTTAGGAGCGCCCCCTGAGCTCCAAAAGACCTCAGTCTCCTCAGCAGGAAGAGTCTGCTCTGACCTTTCTTATACAGAACCTGAGTGTTGTGAGTCCAGTCCAGTTTGTTATTCAGATGAACACCTAGGTACTTATAACTGCTTTATTATTATTATTATTATTTATTTATTTTTTTCTTTAAACTGGGGAGAGAGTTTGGTAATTATATATTCTAATACTTTTGGATTTTAAAAGCATGAGGTTAGCTATAAATGTTTATTTTAAGGTGGTGTTCTTACATTAAGAAAAATAACCGTTTGAAGCTGCTTAGGGCTGCAGCTAATGATTATTTTGCAAATTGATTAATCTGTCACTTATTTTTTCGATTAATAGATTAATAATAGGATAGCAAAAGGTTCCTTAAAGAAGATTTTTTGTGAAACTGAAGGCAGGTAAAACTGAAACTTTTCCACTTGAGGAGTTCTGGATAGAGCATATTAGCAAATTATTTTTTAAAATCTTAAATGCAAAATATTTGCATATTTATTTTTACAATTTTGGTATAATTTCTGCTCAAGGTGGGTTGCCCTATCAGCTAAAGGCTTTTTTTTTTTACAGTCACTACACTCCAGTTAACAATCAGTTACTAAATTAGCTGAGGGTTATTTCAATAATCAGTTAAACCCGATTAATTGTTTCAGCCCTAAAGCTGCTCTCACCAAGCATTTTAACTAATTGTATTGCCTAAAGATTCTTAAGCCAAATTAATGATGCATGTTTTTAGGTTGCACCCTTATTGCAGTGTTTATAACAGACTGTTTACTTGTTTTATCTGCAGAGTTGTCCTGGTGAGATGGAGCAGATACAACCCCTACTACCTGGAGCCGGAAGTCAGGAAGGAGGTCTACAGCCAACCAGAGAGCGAGCTGAGTGCTGAGGAGAAGGAGGAGCGCGAGCTGAAAAAACTCCGACCCATCAAAGCTGCTCCCAATGGACTTACCAGCTCTGCTTTTGATGACCCAGTCCTCAGGTGATTTAATAACTAACAAAACAACAACAAAATAGATTCATGTAAGGTAAATAAAAAACAATTGTTTTCCTCTTCCATTCTCAGTAAATTCATCAACATGATGATGAAACATGGAAACAAGATTCTGGCCAGAGAGATTATGATGCAGGTACATCGGAGAAAATAAAGCTCACATAGTTTCCGTCTTTAGTTGGTTTCCAGGCAAAACAATAATCAAAATGTCTCTTCTTAGACCTTGGAAAACATGAAGAAGAAGCAGGTGGAGAAATATCACAAAACGACAGATGGGAAGAAGGAGGAGATTGAATGTAACCCATACACCATCTTTCACGAAGCCTTGGAGAACTGCAAGCCTGTTGTTGGGCTGGCCAGCATACAAAAAGGTGGAAAATATTACCAGGTCAGTGGGTTTGGATAAATAGAGCTCTATTGTTTATCTCAGCATTTTTTCCACTTTCTTGTTTCCTACAATTCCATCTTTCCTTCCTTTACTGTGATGGATTGTATGTCCCTCCTTTCATATTCATTTTTATTATAAACCTAAAGAGCAAAAACCTTTGAAAGTTGAGTCTGGACAATTCTGACTTAAATGTGTGGGAATTATTTCAAAGAGGTGAGATGGAATAAAAAAAAAAATCAAGAGCTTTTTGACAAAAAAAAAAATGCATTTGTTTTTGAGGTTAAATTTTCCTCATAAATATCTCAAATCCTGATCCCTACCAGGTGCCCATCCCACTTACAGACAATCGCCGGCGCTTCCTGGCCATGAAGTGGATGATCACAGAGTGCAGGGAAAACAAAAACAGACGCACGCTCATGTACGAAAAACTCTCCCAGGAGCTGCTCGCCGCTTTCGAGAAGGAGGGAAACGTCATCAAGAAGAAGCACGAGCTGCACAAGATGGCCGAAGCCAACAGAGCCTATGCCCACTACCGCTGGTGGTAGACAAGGCTGTGCAGGACTGAACATGCAATAAGGACGAGCCGTCGTTGTAAATAGTGAATATTCATGATGGATTACAAGAGACAGGAAAAGGACTTAATGATGGGTTTTTGATAAGTAAATAAAAAAACTGTACTCTGAATTGTTTCAATGTTTTATTAAAACATAATAAAATCCAACAGTAAAAAAAACAGCAGAGAAATGGAAAGTATTGCCAGTTTGTAGTCAAACTTCAAAATAAACTGTCTCCATTTTTAACTTGATTCTACACATCCAGGCTTGCTTCTTTCCTGCATCCAGCCGGAATCCTTGAACTTCAACGAAAATGTCAATCCTCAACCAATTTCAGAAAATATTGTCTCAGAGCTTTGAATCAAACTCATAACATTAAAAGAAACAATTGGTCAAACTACACAGTGCCTCAGACTTTAACTTGGTCAAATGTATTAGCCTTAGCCGTGCTATCAAATGAGCTAAAAAGTAGTTTTGAAGTGATGCTCTGCTGGGAAAACAACTTTTGATCAAAGATGCACAAATCAGTCTGCAAACTTCCAAAGACCTTTAGGTGAACCCTGATCCTTTTCTATAAACATACCCAAAAACTTTGTTTCACTTTAGTAAAATAAGTTCAAAGGTTAAAGGCATCTTATTTAAAACATAAATGGGTAATCAGCCTCTGCACCTCTGGGCTCCAGATTTGACACAAAACAGTTTTAGGTGTTCTAGTTCTTAGCAACAAAACAAAAATCAGCGGGCCTGATTGGTGCATCTCTGATTTAAAGAGGTGTTACTATGATTCCACAATCCCAACAAGATTCTTATGCTTAAGATATGTTGGCACTGCTTTTTCAAAATAAAAGCATTTTCTTCGCTTATAGAAAAAAATCTTTTCTAAAACAGAGTAAATATTTTGGTCTTTCAACCGAGGCTGTGAGAAAAAGGAACCAAAAATAAAATCCCTGAATAAAGATGGAAGATTCAGGTGACAAAACAGCCTCTCATCAAGCAGTAACAGAAATCCAGCTTCTACAGCAAACTCTTAAAAGTTCAGACAGGAGATGAATGTCTAGTTCTCTGCCAAGAATTCAATACATTACAACAATTATAAAAGTAAAAGCAAACACTAAATCAGTCTGAAACTGACTGGAATGTCTCTTTGATGAAAAAGTTTGGTAAACTTGAGGAAATGTTTCTATAAAACCGGAATGCAAAAAAAAGGATTGAAAATTTCAGAGCTTCTTGGTTTGGATTTAAAATGTAAAAAAAAATCTTGTTCAATCCAAAATGTGCCTGAATGTGGCAAAAATAAAAGAAAAACCCATGATAATTAAAACCTTTGTTAACTATTGCACATTCCACATCCATCACCTGGATCAAACCCAGTGAACTCTTAACGTCCTTATTGCCATCTTCTCTGATTGCCTGGAGGACAATTCCTTCTACGAAGAAGCTGCTGGTATTTTAATCAGTGGTGACTAAAGGAAAGTGTCCAAGGTGCATGAAAGGGCCTGACGCTCTCTCTCAGTCGGCAATTTCACTGTAGTAATATTTGTGGGCGGTGCTGCTGAGCATCCAGCCGCCGGCCCTGAACTCCAGGATCTCTAGGAGCAGGAGGCGGGCCATGGAGGTCAGGCCCTCCTGTAGGAGAAAGCCGTCCCGCAGCAAGAAGAACAGCTCGTCCATCCGCTGGCTGTTCACCTTCTCCAGCTGCTCTCCGATACGATGCAGCTGCTGCACCAGGCAGTCTACCTGCAGGCGAGAGAAAGAGGACACTTTATTTTATAAAATGCTAGAAAATTAATGTAGACATCTAGACAGATTGGGACTGGAAATTATTTTTGGAGTTAGGGGTCCTTCAGCTTAATCTTAGATTATGTCTAAACCAGGGGTCAGCTGCTGCATGTGGCTTGAAATAAATAATACAGAGGTTTTACTTGAAGTGATTGAATGTTATCCTTCAGACTAAAGAAAAAAAGAAAAGATTTAAAATCCTGTCAGTTCTGCCAGAATGCCTACTAAAGCTGCTCCTAATGGTGGACACCACAGCAAACCTGAACAGGACGCGCAGCGCTACTGATAATGGAGAGGGTGAGAGTGTTTGGGCGCAAGCTGAGTGTCAGGGATTTACAGAGAGGCCCATGGTCTAACTTCCCTTTCAAAGGGGGTTCAAACAATCGCAATGTGAGAAATGCAGAGTGTTTGCAGCCTGGAATCACCACAGAGAAAAATTAAATAAACACAATTGCTGCCCCTCTGTTAAATGTGACTGCCTTTGCAGGAACAAGGTAACCTGATTGGGAGCTGACTGACGGGCAATGTAATTCAAATTCAACATTTTCACCCACCGACAATCAAAAGGAGAAGGATGCAGTTTTAGAATGCTATAACAACCATGCCTTATCCCACACGAATAAATGGTTAAACTCTTGAGACCAGAAGCAACATTCATTCCTGTTGCTTCTCACATGGAAAAAAGTATTTAAGCTGAACACAGTGGAGGATCTTTGATGCTGTGGTTTTATTTCTACCCTAAAACCACAAAGAACCTTGCTTGAGAACAGGGCATCTGAAAAAGGCACAATAGGTTGAACCTAAACCTGTTGACATCTGTCAATAAACTTCAAAAGAACCATCACTTAGTTTTTCCAGAAAAGGATTAGAAATATAAGCCCAACACACAAAACTGACATGTGTGCATTGTCATCAGTCTGGTTTCCACTTAATTAGAATTAGACTAACTTTATGTTTGTCTAATTACAATACTACTACTTCTAATAATACTTATACAATATATGGAGAGATGATAGTACTGCTTTAAAACATTTAACATGTAATCATGGAGGTGGGATATTATGATGTCCTTTTCCACAAATCCACACTTTGTTTCACATAAAATATGGATGCACAGTATTGGAATTTTGACAGATCTAGACCGTCTTATAGACACCATGTAGTGTTCTTCCTCCTGCCTCCCCCGTGCAGATATTGCTAATAGTCTTTTGGTCTTCTGTTTCTGAAACTCTAACAAAACATGAACACTACCAAGAGCATGTTTTCTGTGAGAGACTCGTACATCAGTTGTGTGCATGAAGAACTAGATAGATCCATTTAGAACACATGATGGAAATCTGACCTCCTCTTCGTTCAGCAGAGCATCTGGTTGGGCCAACCTCATCAGGCAGTCATAGACAGGAAGGACCAGTGCCCCCAGCGGCATGTTGTTCACCTGATAAAGGTTTACCAAGGCAAGAGTTTCGTGATGCAAAGCAGGAGCATAGAGGATTATATTAAAAAAGATAAAATGGCGCGTGGGCGAAATGTAGATATCTCCTACAGAAGTCACATAGAAGCAGAGAAAAGTGTTTGGGGTTCAAACCTTGAGGTAGTCGAAAATGTTGCAGATGAACGTGACGTAGCAAACCCACTCCTGCAGCGAGCGTTTCCTCGTCTCCTCGCGTTCCTTGAACTCCTGCTGCAGGCGGTTCAGCAGGTGTCTCCTAAACACCGTTCCATTGTTTTGCTTGGCCTCGCCCTAGGAGGGAAAAAAGAACCAAGGGATATTAAATAGTGCCTTGCAAAGTAATCACACCGATTGAATTCATGCATGTATTCTGAGATTACCACCATTTTTTTCCCCCAGATATATTTCTAATTTTAAATAAATTACTGCAATAGGGGAAAAAATTTGAAAATATTCCCTCTGAACAAGGCCTGGGCAAATAATCGAGCCAATTAATTATTCTGAATATTTTGTTGCGGGCAAAAAAAAAAAAAAAAAAATCTATTTTTTGCATAACACCACATTCTTGTCTCCCTGGGGCTTCCGTAGCTGGAGTATTACTCCCACGGTGCAGTTCAGCAAGCGACATTAAAGCTACTGGTGAGAGTGGGAAGTTATTCCTGAAAAAAGGAACAAAATCATCAGTTGCTTGGAACTGCTTTGGGTTTAATGCGACAGTCGTGGAGCAAAAAAAACCCCCACACTGCAACAGAAATCAACAGAGACACTTTTGTTTGTAGGCTGGAAGGTGATGAAAACAAACATACCAAAGATCAACAGGAAATGTTTTTGGAAGCTAAGGTAATTAGAAAGACAGTTACCATCTTCTGTGATGGTAAAAAACTGACTTTATGTGGAGATTTTCTCATCATAGAATGTTTATATAACGTATAATAGGGCCTCAGGATCGCTTAAAGAGCAGGAAGTCTAAGCTTTATTTTACAAATTCTGATTTAATATGCTGCTATACCTTTATTAATTGTGCTTTGGTGTTTATGGTGTCCATAAAATGAACTTGGTGGTTGAATTGTGGAGAATCTAAGCTTTCTAAGGATGTATAACATGTCTATATTGATAAACTAGTGTTTTTCTCAGGCGTACTGCTGTGTTTAATAGAAATATGCAAAATGGAGCAGCAGAGATTATAGGGTGGATGTTAAGAGGTTAATAGGTAAGGTGGTAAATCGGGGAAAAAAAATGGTATTCGAATTCGAATTATTCGAATTAAAAATAAAAAAAGCTGAGATTTTATTTTTAGGCCGTATTGCCCAAGCCTACCCTGAACCAATACTTTTATCATTAAATTCTATTACTGATTAGATGCTCTAATTAATGAGCATTTAATCAGTTCACCCACCTAAAGCAATGTCTTGGTAGAGTTGCATTTGCACCACTTCTCAGAAACTACTACTAATTGATCCTTGTTTCCTTGTTATAATGACATCATGCTTTGTGTCAATGTTTAACATAAGATCTCAACAGATGTACTAAATGTTTTGGTCATAATGTGAATATGTGCTGTGAATAGCTTAGAAGCAGGGACAAAAGATTATATATGGAAAAAACCAGCAGTGAGTGACTGAACGGACCTGCACAATGGTGTAGCAAATACGGCCAGCCTCCTTGCTGAAAAAGGGATCTTTTAAAGATTGGTCCACAAGAATGTTGGATACTTTCTCCAGGTCCACAGAACTTGGATCTGAATAATAATAATAATTAAAAAAAAAACACACAAACAAAAAAGCTTTGTAAGTTCAAAAATATTTATGATATTATTTTACATTAACAAAGGAAAATAAATGTTTACCTTTCAAGGCTGTTTTTAGCAGTTTCTGTGTATCCACATCAAATGACTGGATCCTGTAGTCTTCACTGGAGTTTTCCATTATAGATGTTATGTGAAAAAATACACCTGGGAGCTTTCACTCTGTAAATATGAGACATGGTTCATGCAACAAGTCTTAGAAAAGCGGACACAAAGCAAGTCTTTCATAGACAGCAAACCCGGGGACAACAAAACATTAGATCCTGCAGAGTCATCAAACTGGCTGCTCCACTCAGATTACTCACTATAGCAGGGATTTAAGCGATTTCCTATCAGCTGGAAGTGGTATTTATTCAGGACATAGGCAACATTATTTTTTTTTAAAGGAGCTAAAAAAAAACATACACAAACGGGTAAAGAACGACGTTATCTGGGCGAAAGGGTATAATTTCAGCACGACAGATTTTTATCCACTATTATCGAAGCGACAATAAAGGTTGTTTTCTCACTGATAAACTCTTTGCTAGCCCGAGTGTTTCGGGTGTGCTTCGCCTTGCTATCGTCAAGAAATGGATTTAGGTGTACTGAAACGCTAAAACCGGTACTGCATCGAACTGTTGCGATAATTCACCTCACGAAATTGGACATTTTAACAAAAAATATACCTTTTTATCGCTTCTAGGCTGACCATACCACCTGAGTGAAGAAGAGACTTCCAGCTGCACAGCTCATCGAAGATCAACTACTACCGACAAGATGAGTCTCTGTCGCTTCTTCCGAGTTTACGCTGCATTGTCTTTTCTTCTTCTTCTTGGATTTATTGGCGGTTGGCAACAAATATTTAAATCCTCCTAATTATTCCTGCTATTATTAAGTATTAAAATAAATATTGATAAGTTTTTTTTTTACTTTTTCTGCAGAATATCTATCAAATCAAATTTAACTTTCCCCTTATTTAGGTCTGTAACCAAATTCCTTCTTTCTTCTTCATACTTCTTACATCAGTACTCAGGAAAACATGAATGTTATTTTGTAATTTTATTTCTTTAATTAAAACAGAACTGTTTTTAAAATCTGTACGGTTACAAAGCGTCACACGTTTCCTCTTCTAAAGGTAGAGAACGTAACAAAAAACAAAAAAAAAAAAAAAAAAAAACAAACGAACAAAAAAACAAAACACGGTAGCTGAGTTCGGTGTGGGATATGAGCCTCTTGTTTTAACTTATCTTTGAAATATGGCGCATGCGTTGTTTACTTTGCGGAAGTGCAATGTGTGGCTTGATGTTAGCCAAATGCAATTAGTGTGGAATTGGTTGTCCTGCTTGCCTGTCTGTTGTATTAATGAATGACCTTCAGTTTAAGGTAAATTACCTCATTTCTCATAGCTTCTGTCTTTTTTTCTTTTTCTTTGACCTAACCTGAACAGCTGCCTTGTAATTAGCATAGCTTAGCTCAATCCAAGTTTCCCCTCTCTGTCCTCCACAAACTGTCATACTTATTTTTTTTAAGTTTTTGGACTATTTTAAATCATATAAGTGTAGATCTCTCGGACAAAAACATGGATGATTTAATTTTCACTGAGAATCGTGCTCACATCTTTTATGCTCTTCCCAAGTTTTGTTAATAGTGCTGTAGAGACATGGTGGGATATGACCCCAGGGCTCAGAATGCAGCACCCTCCCCAAATGAGGCAGCCCTTGCTGGATCAGCTGCTGGGATGGTCACCAGAGCCCTCATCAGCCCTTTTGATGTCATTAAAATAAGATTTCAGGTAATGATTGAAAAGTGTACTTCCTTTTTTAATATAACTGCTTCTTCCAGGTGGTGGCAGTGATGTGTTTGTATAGTGTGCATCTTTTGATTAAATTCTAATTTTTAATAGGATCTTTTTATTTCCACAGCTGCAGATTGAGCGTGTGTCTTCACGAAGCCCTGAGGGGAAATATAGGGGAATATATCAGGCATTCAGAAGAATTTACTCTGAGGAAGGTCTCTCTGCTTTCTGGAAAGGTCATATTCCAGCACAGCTCCTGTCTATTTGCTACGGGGCCGTCCAGGTAAATACTTGGAATAGGAAACTGCTCATCAATATATAAATTTTCCATAATGAAACTTCTAACCAGTTGTTTGCTTGTGATTTGCAGTTTGTCAGTTTTGAGTTTCTGACTGAGTTGGTTCACAAGTCAACCCCATATGACAGCCAGACTTCAGGAGTTCATTTTTTCTGTGGCGGCCTAGCAGCCTGTTCTGCTACAGTGGCCTGCCAGCCTCTGGACACGCTGAGGACGCGCTTTGCAGCTCAGGGAGAACCCAAGGTGGAATATTACTTAATGCTTGATTTTTAATCAGCATTTTTTTCTGTTTAGTTTAGAGTTTTGTTTAGGGCTGAAACAATGGTGATTGATTATTGAAATAATCAAGTAATTTAGTAATCCATTAATCGTTAACTGGAGTGCATAGACTCTGTGCCTTTAGCTGACAGAGCGACCGACTCAGAGCAGCAGTTATACCAAATTCTATAAAAATTCTATTAACATTTTGCATTTAAGATAAAAAGGTTTTTCGTCTGTCGATATCGATCCAGAACTCCTCAAGTGGAAAAGTTTTACTTTCACACGGTTTAATTTCGCAAAAACTCTTAAGGAACCTTTGGTATCCGATTATTAATCGATGAATTAAAAAAATTATTGATAAATTAATCGATTTGCAAAATAATCGTTAGTTGCACGCCTAATTTTGTTATACATGTTAGCTAGTGGCTGGAGTCGAACTACAGCCTCTTTCAGTTCAAAGATCTTATACATCTCATTCAACATTAGATAAACAAAATTTCTTTCGGCATCACTGTAAATTCTATTAAAAGATTAGCTTTTTTTTCTGTTTGGTATCAAAGCTTTATTTTGTCACCCTCCCATTTAGCGGTTCATAGTGGTGTTTATGTTTGATTGCAAGCCCATATTTTCAGTCCTCCGCTGGGTTTTGTTTATTCTTGCAGTATGTAGTGATGTTAACCATGCATTTATTACCAGCAGAATGAAGGTCAAGGTTTCAAATGTGACGTTTTTTTTAAAAACACCTCATTTGTCTCTCGTCGTCTCTAACGTTTTTGTGGTTTAAAGTCCCGTTAATGAATCACAAGAGATCAGATACATGACTGTTTCCTATCACAGAAAACTGAGGGTCGATTTATTAGTTTCCAAGGCAGAAAACTTGAAACTTTAAACCTAATTCTGGTAAATTTGCATCTTCAATACATATTTAATCTATTCTTGTTTTTGCATTATTCAATTCATCCTGTTGTTGTTTAATATGAGCCCATTTGAACTCATTTTAATCCTGTAAATGTAACTAGATGGTGCATTACTATGCCATGATTTAAAACCCCCTCTCCTGCCTCCTCAGGTTTACGGTAACTTGCGGTATGCCGTGTCCACGATGTGGCGCACTGAGGGGCCACTGACGTTTTATCGCGGCCTGTCTCCAACTCTGCTGGCAGTGTTTCCTTATGCTGGACTGCAGTTCTTCTTCTACAATGTCTTTAAGCAGCTGTTGAGTCCTCCAGTTAAATCCAGAGACTCAGGAGGTTAGTGAAAAACCCACAGGATGTGTTTGGGTTTACCCCGCGACCATGGAAGGAGAGAAAACTGCTGAGATTTTGATTCATTTAAAAAAAGGATTGGAATAACTTTTGGGAAAAAAGTTTCATTGTTGATAAAGGTTTTCCATAATTCTGTGCATTCATTTTAAAAAGAAAACTAATCATTAGGTGAAATAATAGTTTGTTGATCCATGATGTCAAACAGGCTAAAATCTATGCATATTATTGGAAAGTTTAATAGAAGGTCAAACAGTGGCCAGAAACGTTGCATAGTAACAGAGATAGACACAACTTCCAAAGGATTTCAATGTCCAGCTGAGCTGATCTGCACTACTTATAGCTTTTATTTTGATGCACATATGCAAACCATTCATGTGTGTCCCTTGTTTTACAGGAAACCTGAGAAGCCTGGTCTGTGGCAGTGGAGCTGGAATGATCAGTAAAACCCTCACATACCCCTTTGATTTGTTCAAAAAAAGGCTGCAGGTGGGGGGCTTTGAGAAAGCCCGAGCTCACTTTGGAGAGGTAAACTCCTATGCTGCATGTTTCTCCCTGATGCATGAAGTAACCCCAGCCTTGTGTGCGGGTGTTTTCACCTGTTTCTGTGTGCAGGTGCGGACCTACAGAGGCCTGATGGACTGCGCGGTTCAAATAGCCAAAGAGGAAGGTATTCGAGGGTTCTTCAAAGGCCTCTCTCCCAGCCTCCTGAAGGCGGCTCTGTCCACAGGCTTCACTTTTTTCTGGTATGAGTTCTTCCTCAACATCATGAAGAACACGAAGGAGAAACGGAGAACTGATGACCTCAGTGGTGGCCGAAAGGAGAGATGATGAAATAAAAAAAAAAATAAAGAAAATGAGGCAATCACGCACACTATAAATGCACTAATGCCTTGTTGCACTGAACACATTTCTCAACTGGCAAACAGACTCTGGATTTGGATTTTTATGGTGTTTACATATGTTAAAAGGGGAAAGTTAGTCATGTATATCATTGTATTTCTGTATCATTTGCTTTTTTGTGCAACCTTTATGTTTATGTTATGTTTGAGATGACACACTCACAGAAACTTTTCCCCCAAATTTTAAGATTTATTTAATTTTTTTACATAACAAATTCCTAATTTACTTTTTTTTTTCTTTTAGATCTTTTTAATACAAACCTATTATATAAACATTACATGATCAAAACTAATACTAAAGAGTTTATTTCAAATGCATAAAGTTTGTTTGTTTTAATTGTATAATAGTAAGGTTACCTTTATGGAATTGAAACAATAAACTTTATGTATTTGAATTAAAAACACTCAGTATAAATTCTGAGTAAGTTTATCATTATTAAATACATGTAAAATAATTAAGCTTTATTATTCAAAAATAGTGATTATGTAAGGTTTATTTAGTTTGTTAAAAATCAACTAAAAGAATTAAATGGGAATTTATGTAATTTACATAAATATTAAAATTTGGGTGATATATTTCTATCAGTGCAGAATGGCTGCAACCGCTTTACTGGGTCAACTATTGAAAGCAAGCAGAGTCGGTCATTAAAGGGGCCATGTCTTTACTATGATCACTTTACCTTAAAATTCAATTAGTAATCAAAATCTGGGTCTTGTTACATGTTTAGAACAGGGAGTGGTATCTAAACAGAGTAATTCAGACTGGAGATAGATGGCTAGAGGGGGAAAATGAACAATATTCATGCAGAGTCAATCTATCAAACAATGAGCACAGGAACTAGAATCCCTGTTAGATATATCCGCCTGTATCTTCAGCTACTGATGAGACTGGTGCCACACTGTTTGGTACTCGCTCTTATAGAGGTTACTTCTGTCTTCTGTTTGTGTCATATGCTCCTGCGCTGCCACCACCTCCTAAAATTTGTCAGAGTGGCAACAGTGGGTCAGCTTCAGCACCCCTCCCTGTTCTGTGTCGTCAAATCTCCATTGTGTATTGAAAGTACATGAACACAGAGTAAAAGGGAAATATCAACGTGTTTTAGGAACTTAAAGGTTTACATGTGATGTCCTCTTTAGACTTCATGAAATGTTGCACATTTTCTGTTCAGCTTTGCTCATGTTACCTTACAGTTTTTTGGGGGAAATCATTTGATGTCCTAGCGTTGCATGCAGAATAACACCTCCATTAAAATACTTGATATTTATTTTTATATAAACTGTATCTAACAAGGAAAAACCCAAATGTATTGTTGACTTTTGTAAGTCTGAATCATTTCAGTTTGTCTGGAATTAAACCATCGGGCCAGCTGCTCATATCTCATGATTTTTCCTTTGCTGTGACTTGCAGGATTTTATCTCTTTGGAATTAAAATAAAAAAGAACAGTGTTTAAAAATTGACTTATTTCTTTTGATTCCATTACAGAATGTAAACCTATAACACATTTTGATTCAAAATACATGTCTAAAGAGCAAGAATAGAATAATGTTAAGCTATTTAGAGCCCAAAGTATTCACACCCATTTTGTTTTTTTATTGCATCTAATAAACTTTTGTTATTTATTTGAGGGCATTTGGGGGAAAATTAAAAGGATTACAGATATATATTTGCAAAACAATAATGAATTTGAAACACTTCAAAGGTATTTAATCATAAACAAAGGCACATCACACAAATTAATTGTGGTTTTGGATTAAATTTAATTTTAATGCATACAAAAATTATATTTATCTGAAAATGAAGGGAGACAAAGTCACATCTAGAGGACACTGCATGAGCAGTCATAAAACCATGGGTAAAACACATCCAGTATGAGAGCAAAAGACAAAACAATCAATTATTAAATATTTTAAAGCATTATGGCACCAAGAGAGATTCACATGGCAGAGATAAGTCACTATAGATACACGGAAAAATTAGTCTGGCAAAGAATGCAACATAAATCATAGCTACTTCATCACAGAAGTTCAAATTAAGTGTTTACAATTTATTGTTTAATTCATGTTCATACAGTATATACATCACTCAATCACTGTACATATGAGTTTATAACTCTTAATGTTTCACTATCACATTGTCATTACCTTTTCCAGATGAATAGAAACACAGATTAAAAAGCTTCAGGTAATAAAGCCACAGACTCAGAAGAGGGTGAAACAGCAAAAATCTAATTCTGTACATAATGTGAACTAACTGAAACCCTGAAAATATCTAGACACTGAGTTTGAATGGAAACGAGGTTTGTTCTCTGTAAACTGGGATGGATGTTCTACATCTAAGACATGGAGGTTGCAGCTCCTTTTCGGTTTCTATGTTGGAACAAACTCTGCTTTGACTCCTCAAATGACTTGGGTATTTTGAAGGGGCGGACTCTCTACCCGTAAAGGCAGCCTCAGAGCTGCTGACTGCTGTAACACCTGCAACTCTACTGAGGGGGTGGGGATGACCAGATCTGCGGAAAGCCTCTGTCACTTAAAACTGGCCAGGGAGTAGTTGGGGCATCGTTGGATGTGCAAAGCAAGCATCCTCTAGTGATTCACAGGTTAAAGTCTAGGCCTAACCCTCATTCTGGTTGCGGACTGGAGTTCCAGGAGAAAAAACTTGGCAGCTTGAAGAGTGAATCCCTGCGTCCTGGATCAGGCAGGGTCAAGGTCTCTGGAGCTGATTTTTTTCTTGGTCGCTCCTTTGGCACAGACAGAAAGTCCGGAGCTTCGGTGGAGAGGGGAGTTGTTGGTGCGCTGTTGGGGCCGCTGCGGGCGCTGGACGGCAGAGGCGTCTCTGAGATGGCAATGGATGGGGGGAAGGTGCCAATTTTCAGATTGGTAGCCTTCTGAGTGGTACGCTCATACTCCCTCACCTCCTCCATGGTCATATCTGGAATAACAGAGAAACTAACATGAACTCTGACTGGCATATAAGTCACAGTTGAATGTAAGAGGCAAGAAAAAAAAATAAACAGAACACTCAAATACTCCCTAGATCTGAATTAATTAAATATTGTCATTAAATACTTTGTTCTGTACAAAGTTGAATGTACTGACAACAAAATCACACAAAAATCATGAATGGAAACGAAATCTATTAACCAATGGAGGCCTGGATTTAGAGTCACAAAATTAAAGTAGAAAAACAAACTACAGGCTGATTCAACTTTGATGTAATGTCCTTAACACAGCTCAAATTGAGGCTTAGTATTGTGAGTGGCATCCAAGTGCCTGTATTACCTCCCAAAAATGCCTGAGTATGCTCCTGATGAGGTGGTCTAATGAAGGATCTCCTCCCAGACCTAGACTAAAGCATCCGCCAACTCCTGGAAAGGAGTGGGACATTGGTGGATGGATGGAGCCATGATGTCCTAGATTTGTTCAATCGGATTCAGGTCTGGGGAACGGGAGTGCCAGTCCATAGCTTCAATCGCTTAATCTTGCAGGAACTGCTCACACACTCCAGCCACATGAGGTCTAGCATTGTCCTGCAGTAGGAGGAACCTAGGGACTCATATGTGCTCAGTGGGAACCTGCATTCATCTGTGAAGGCACATGGAGCCAGTGTTGAATTTGTGAATCCTGGTGTTCTCTAACACAACCCTCATCTGTGGACAATGGGCCCTCATACCATCCTCATGGAGTTTGTTTCTAACCATTTGTAGAGAAACATGCACATTTGTGGCCTGCTGGAGGTCCTTTTGCGGAGCCCGGGCAGTGCTCCTCCTGTTCCTCCATGCACAAAGGCAAAGGTAGCAGCCCTGCTGCAAGGTTGTTGCCCTCCTACGGTATCCTTTACATCTCTTGGTGTAATGGCCTGTCTCCAAGTAGCGCCTCCAGCGTCTGGACACTATGCTGACAGACACAGCAAGCCTTCTTACCATAGCTCGCATTGATGTGCCATCCTGGATGAGCTGCACTACCTGAGCAACTTGTGTGGGTCATAGAGACTTTCTCATGCTACCATGAGTTTTAATGCACCACCAACATTAAAAAATGACCAAAACATCAGCCAGAAAGCATAGGTACTGAGAAGTGGTCTGTTGTCCCCACCTGCAGAACCACTCATTTATTGAGTGTATCTTGCTAAATGCCAATAATTTCAAACCTTTGTCTATTCCACTTGCGCTTCCTAAGTGGACAGTCTGATTTGATAGAAGCTATATTGTGTTGAGAAATGAAAAAAAATAAAAATAAAAAATGAAACAAACCTGAGCAAATAAGATCTCTGTCAAATATGAAGACTAAACTGAGGTACATTTTTTTTTCAGTTAAAACACCTTCTTCTTCTAGGTCTGTATGAAAGCACTAATAAAAACAATGACATTTAAAATATATAGATATATATTTTTATTGTCTTTTAATCAGACATTTGTTTTGTGTAATTAATTTTTCTTCAATAAAGGGAAGAACATTCAATTAAGTACCAGCAAATGTAATTTCAGTCATTTCAGTTGGTTACAGCAGTGATGGAAAGAGGAGCCCTTTTATTACAGAAAGAACAACAGATTTCACAAAAGGTACTAGAGTTTTACTTCCAACCTAAATTCAATAAAAAAAAAATTGATTGTGGGCATCTTGAGCTGGTTTTTCGAGTAAGAATTGGTAAATATGCAACAATATCTACACCAACGTTTTGAACTCAATATTTCACACAATGCTGCCAAAGATGAACTCAATTGATGCATTCGGTTTCATTACAAATTTCAAGATGGTTAAATCTAAAACCAATCAGAACTTTCTTATTCTTCTGACCATCATCTTTAATAAACTTACCAATCCACTCATCCACCCAGGCAAAGGCCTGCCTGTGTCCTAGAAGAAGAACATCTCGTATCACCTGAGGACAGTTAGAAAATAAGAGGGTGAAATCACAGCAGAACATGTGGAGGAGGCAATTCAAGGTGAGAGGATGTGAATCATACTGACTTAAAACCGGAAGGTGAAAGTCTGAAAACAAGTTAATGTTTCTGTTTCTCCACAGAAATAAATGATTAATATGAGTCACTCTGAGCGTTACCCTGTGAGTAAGTGCCCTGACTGTGTCTATGTATGTGTGTGTCAAAAATGAGCCTCCGGCAAGGAGCAAACAGGGACAGTCTGACCCAAGGACAAATGCTGCTAAGAGCTGGGAAAAATACTTCTGGGAAATAGATAGAAATATTAGGTTTAAATGCTGCCGGCAGGACTAACAGTGAGAGGTGACCAGGATAGATGTTAAAAGGCAAGATAAGAGAACAGCAGATTTCGTTCACTGCTATGGTTATATGTTTCACAGTAGAAAACTGGAGGCAATGATATGTACAAACAAACAAACAAAAAAATAGTGAGAATTGGGAATCAAAGACTGAGGTTCTGTTAAACTGACCTTGTGCACAAACTGTTCCACACGTGTTTGTAGTCCCCACACTTCAAACTTCACTGTAACAAGTTTGTACGAGCACATGATGGGGTCCTGGGTGTTGATCCATCCTTCCTGGAGATTCCCTCTGTCGGTCTTCTTCGATTTAAAATATCTAAGGTCCTGCAAAAAGGATAAGGAGGACGTTCACAGTAAATCAATACTCCTGCAGTGAATATATATTAATCAAAAGATTTATACTAGATCTCTGCTACTCAGAATAACCTCTGGATTATAGTAGATTATATAGGAGAAATAGATAATGAATTATGTCTACAGGACAGGAACTCCTGCTTTCATTACAGTACTCAGACAGAGTCCTTCATTGTAGACTTAACATGCATTAATCACTCCTCCCTGTGGACTAATTATGTTGTAGTGCTCATTTATCTTTGTGAACATGTGTTTGACTGAAAGAGAATGTGTGCAGGAGGGAGGCAAAGATTTTTGTCCCTGCAGGGAGCTCCTTATAAAAGTAGTTGGATTAAAGCCTGTTGAATCACAGAAGAATATCAAGGATAGATAAAAAAAAAAACATTTTGTCCTCAGTTAATACTGAAAATCTAAATAAGCTATTCTTATGACGCTTAAACTGCTTTTCTTATGCTATACATGGTATTCTGAAATAGACATTGTAGATCAAAATGACACAAAAACAAGCTCTGGCTCTAATATGCAATCATAGGACTCTTTCATTAACCGAACATTTTTTATTGGTTATGTCATTTCCTAGTTTACAATGTTGTGTTTTCATAATCCATGGGCTGAAAAGGTGAATAATTTGATGAAATAAAGGATTGAAAACATCAATCTCTGTCTTATTGCTGTATAAAATGTGATATAACTCTGCATAAACAAAGTTATTCATCCGTGGACATGGAGGGGACTAAAGCACATGACATAGGTAGATACTTTGGCAACATAGTGTAGTACATAACTGGTTTATTTTCTACCAAAACTGCATATTTTAGGGCTTTTTACTAGCTGAAAACCTTTAGAACAATAAAGACAAGAAACTTAAACATCTCCTATATAACAAAAGTCCAGCGTCCCATGTATTTTCATCTTCCATGTAAGTTGGGACATCTAAATACTGATTTTGAAAACTTCACTGAATAAATTTTTATGTCATTATATTAGGGATTGCATCATTTTATGAAAGATGTCTCTCTGTGTTTTCTAATGATACTGCTTCCTAATTGACCTGCTCAATCATTATATCATAATTCTCTGCTCGTATGTCTTCTACTGGAGCCTGAGCACTAAAGGCTAAGGGTGTCCCAATACAACTTTTTCAGCTTTGAGAATTGACCATAACAGATATTGACCAGATACAATATTAGCACAAATCATATCAGCTTTTTTTTTTTTTTTTTACTTATTGTATACTGTAGAATGTTAGAAAAGTCTTGATCAAGTGATATCACTAAAACAGGGAACATCAGTAAACAACAAATGA